TTTTCCCCCCCCCCCCCCCCCCCCCCCCCCCCCCCCCCATTTCATGTGGGCGTATAAAAATGTACATCTTAGTTGACCAATCACTAGATTGAGTCATATTGAGAATGTTTATGTTACATGATGTTTTAAAAAATATATTTTCTGCATTGTGAACGTTTTAAGCAAAATTACTTAGGAAAGTGCTTTTGATAGAAGAGTTGCAACAGAAATGTGAAAACAAACACGCCTTGAGCTCCTAATGAAATTGAAATGAAAAAATGTGATTTTTAACACGTTTACATATTGATTTAAGACAAGAAAAATCGTTTTCTGCAATTTGATTAGATGAATCTTAAGAGGTTGCTTGCATTGGTCAAGGCGCATTACTTTATTTCTTTAATTTATGGAATTAAAATTTTTGTTGTGCTGTAATCTAGGATTATTGTGAAATGCTATTAAAACGATAATGCTATGACATGCTTCAAGCAGCTTCTTTAAGGCCCTTTAATGCCCAATGGTTTAACCAAAGATCTGTCTTGAGTTTTTTCGTCCTTATTCCAAGTGAAATTGTAAAATTGTTTTTTTTTCTTTCCATGAAACTAACCTTTTTACAACTGCGCCATTTATTAAATTTGGTAAATCAAGGGATTCATCCTTCTTTTTGACCCAGCTATTCGGTGGATTAGATATAATTAGTAGAATGGTGAACAATATCTCTTTAAAATCTAAACCCTTTCCAAGCAGTTGTGTGGGCGATTCAAATCAGTTGGGGCCATGGCATTAGTTTTCATTAATAACTTTATACTATGCCTACCTATCTGATGAAATTTTGATGCTCCATTGCGAAATTTGGAAGAAATAGTATGTGTAATTTTTAAGTATAAAACTGAGTGTATAAAATACTGTGCCCACACCGGACTATGAACCTAGTGATTCAAATAGATTTGTTTCAGACTTGTCTTGAAAAGTGTATTTACTTTTATTGCTGACAATTACATGCCAAGTTTTGTTAACGACCGTTGTAATATTGTATTTTTTGTTGCCGATATCATTTAACGTGAATTATGTACAAACAGACCAAATCTATACTCCAAATCCATATTAAAACAACAGCGTAGCTTATTAGGTTATTGCTTTTATTCTACAAAATATTGAAATGGTTGGGAATGAAATTATAAAGAATACACTGTAGATACCAAATATAATTTTAAATATCAAAATATAATTAAATTTCAAATTTATTGTGTTGACCATGTTTGTTGAATATAGAATTGAGATGGTATGAATAAGTTTGGTTTTATTGAGTTGATTATGATTAATATTGAACGTCTGGTCTGTTTAATTTTATTCCCGTGAGATCTTCAAACTACGTCATTAAAGGCAGACTATGTTGAGAAGAATTTGATTGTATCGGTCCATAAGGACAAGTTATCGGAGTGTTTTTGTGAATGTTTTAGACATGATCTGTCACATACATGGATAATTTTCCTTTCTGTTTTTATTAAGACAAATTCTGGCAAAATTTCAAATGAAATTAAAAACGATGTGATATGATGATTCGTGTACAGCGAGCTACAAGGAGCTGAAAGGAGTGATCTTTGTGACAACCATCAACAACGAGGTAACAAAGGCTAAAGTATGCCAATGGAGGTTATATGGTAAACACAATTTCAATTTTTTTTTTAAACTTACAAAAGAGAACGTTTTCTAACAGATTGACCTGATTGAAATATTTTAGAGAAGGAAAATCGTATTCAACGAGTCACATTTGGGTGTGATTAATGGTAGCATTTTAGACTATGGATAACAACAGGTGATTTCAGATATGGCCAATGTTTCGGTAACATTTTAAACTGGGACCAACAATTTAATGAGTATAAGTGTTTTTTCAGACTAGAGCTAATATAGAGTGCATTTGGTTGTTATATTTAAGACCATGTCCTTCAAATGAGTATTGTCGGTGGCGGTAACATTTCAGACTATAAAAATCAAATGATTAGCCTAGTGTTTGTGGTAACATTTCAGACTATGGCAATTAAATGAGTATTGTTGATGGTTAAATTTCAGACGATGGCCATCAAAAGAATATTGTTGGTGGAAACATTTCAGACTATGGCAATTAAATGAGTATTATTGATGGTGACATTTCAGACGATGGACATCAAAAGAATATTGTTGGTGGTAACATTTCAGACGATAGCCATCAAATGAGTATTGTTGATGGTAACATTTCAGACTTTAAAAATCAAATCAGTATTGTTGGTGTGAACATTTCAGAACATGGCAATCAAATGAATATTGTTGATGGTAACATTTCAGATTATGACCATAAAATGAGTACAAGTATCGTTGATGGTGATATTTCAGACTACAGCCATACAATGAGTGTATTGTTAGTGGTATCATCAGAATATGGTCATCAAAAGAGTACTGATGGTGGTCACATTATTTTATGCCTACGAAATTGGGGTTTTATAAGTGGTAACATTCCGAATATGGTCATCCAATGAGTAGTTTTGGTGGTAACATTTCAGACCATGGCCATCAAATGAATCTTATAAGTAAAAGTCTTATTAGACAAATTAGTAAGGCTGATGGTAACATTTTACACTGAAGCTTACGAACATCGCCGTAAATCGTAACATTTCATACAAAAGTCAATTGTTGATAGTGGTAACATTTCAGACTATATCCTGAAACTGATTGTTGTTTGTGATAAAATTAAGACTGGCAATCAAATGGAATGGTTTGTGTTTATTGGTGGTTACATTTCAGACGATGACTAAGAAATTAGGGTTTTTTAATGGTAATATTCAGACTATGGACATCAAATGAGAAGTTGTGTGGAAACATTTGAGACGATGGCCATCACATGAATAGTGTTGTTGGTAACATTTGAGACTATGTCCATCAAATGAATATCATTGGTGGTAACATTACAGACGGTGGTTATCAAATGAGTGTTACTGTTGGTAACATTTCAGACGATAGCCATCAAATAAATGGTGTTGAACCTTTGAGATTATGACCATCAAATAAGTATCATTGGTGGTAACATTTCAGACGATATAAATGATGTTGGTGGTAACATGTCAGACGATGGCCATCACATGAATAGTGCTGTTGGTAACATTTGAGACTAAAGCCATCAAATGAGTCTTATTGGTGGTAACATGTCAGACGATGGTCGTCAAATGAATGGTGTTGTTGGTAACATTTCAGACTATGGCCATTAAATGAGTATTATGTTAGTTGTAACATGTCAGATGATATAAATGATTTTGGTGATACATGTCAGACTATGGCCATCAAATAAGTATTATTGGTGGTAACATTTCATCAACAAATGGGTATAGTTGGTCGTAGCTACTCAGACTATGGCAAACAAAAAATGATTCTGTCCATCAGATGAGTATTGCATCAGATGAGTATTTTTGGTTGAAAGATTGCAAAAAAGAGCTACCAAATGAGTATTGTTGATAGTAGCATTTCAGACTATTTCAATCAAACAACCAAATAAGTATTGTTGGTAGTAGCAATTTGAGACTACTGCCATAAAATGGGTGTTGTTTGTGGTAACATTTAGAGGATGGCCAAGAATTTGAGTACAACTATAGCTATCATGAATAGTTATAGATAAATAACAAACTTTTATACAGATGCTTCTGTGTGAGAACCACATTGAAAAGTTGAAAGCAATAAATATTCTAGAAGTATCCATCCATAAAATTGTCTTATTTATCATGGTGTTGGTGGTGACAAGTCAGACTATTGATAACAAATAATTGGTGTTGGTGTATTTCAGACATAGGGCTTACGAATGAATGTTGTGGGTGGTAACATTTCAGACTAGGACAAACAAAGAAAAACGTTAATGGTAATATTTCAGACAATGATCCACAAATGAGTATTGTTAGTAGTGGTTAGTGGTGACTTTGGTTAGAGATGATAACATCAAATGAGTATTGTTGGTGGTAACATTTCAGGTCAGGGTATCATAAGAGTTATTTTGGTAATAACATTTTAAATTATAGGCAACGCCTTAGTACAATTTTAGATAATGCGTTTACAATTTTGAATCAGACATTAAAAAGGTCTGTTTTTATTTTATAATGGGCTTTGTCTATTTACAGGGATGAATTCATTTATTTGTAATCAGGCAATAAACTGCCAATAATATCCTGTTTCAACCATTCCACTAAGAGGTGTATTAGATGAAATAGTATGATGTATTTCAGTGGCTCTCTGGAGGCTGAATTAGAATAGTTTTCTGTTCAGTTCTAACATTTATCTTAAAAATTCATTCAATTATTCTCTAATTGATATTTGAATAGAGTTTTCATTCCACAGGGAATAGATATATATATATATATATATATATGGTGCGGACTATTAATAATGAATTGTTGAGAATCTATTTATGAATATCATCAGACTTGTGTATTTCTATGTAATTATATGCAATGTATGTAAATAGCATTAAGTCGTATATTTTGAAGTGCTATTCTATGAGGTACATTTTTTCTTCTATGAGGAAATCGTCTCAATGTCTAAAAGTTCGACCAAACAATATTGTGTAACTTCAAATTTCATATGAAATTTGGAAAACAAGCTTAATTGGTACACTTAAGTTTACACTTTCGTGCTTTTAATTCTTACTTTTCACAGCATCCATTTCGTTAACAAATATTGCATTACCAACTTAGAGAAACGTCCTTATTTGTAGATATTGTTATTGTTTTTCAAATTTCATTTCCACAATTACCATATATTTGGCATAAAATTAACTAATTCGTTTGATAAAAGTCTACCCCTATCTGCGAATTTCAGAAACACTAATTTTTAATAAGGACTATAAACTTTTGTTACATTTGTCATATCATTTAATTTTATTTTATGCTCAAATATCTAATCTATATAGATTCTGTCATTTGTTTTTCAAAATGAATATTGACACAGCAAAAAATCAGAAAACAAATGCGTAGTTTTCTTCTGTTGTTTTAGATTACTTTAAATTCGTTTTTAATTTTGATTTGTTCTTTTGTTTTATTTTATTTAAGATATTGGTAAAGGGAATGAAAACGTTAAACGTAAGTTGCTCTTTGTTGTTGAAAAAACTCCCCATATATATATATATATATATAAACCCGTATATAATCCTTATCTCTTTTGTTCTGTTGCTCAATTTAGAAGTTTTGGTTTTTATTTTCGTTTCTTTATAATAATTTTTTAGTTCCCTTTAACTTTATTACATGTACCTCCATATAACATAATATATCTGATATGTTATATATCCTTATGTTAGAATCCAAATTGTGTAACAATACACAGTTAATATATGTGCGTGTAAACACGAAGAGTATACCCGTGACCTTTAATGTAAATTAATATATATAATATTCAGCATTTGGACAATCTCTCCTCTGTTACATCATTCTTCCAGTAGTATTGCTGTATATATATGTAGACTAGGTATATCATTCAGATGAGACAATAAACATCCCTCGGCAGTTGGAAATCGATGAGTAGGCTATTAGCAGTACAATCTTCATCAGAAACATGGGACGTAAAAATTCGTTTAATTTCCTTTTTGATAATAACGTTTTCCATCGCATTTGGTAGATATTGTTGATATATACATATTAGATAAATGTTGTAACGCTGTCAAAATATTTTATTCACCTTACCGCATGTTACTGAGATTCTCAACCTTCATATCTTAACAAGCTTTTATATAAGAAACGACTATGTTTTTCCTGATGATCTAATACAATATTCCTCTGGCAGAATCAATGGAATAATTCCTAAAAAGCATATTGATTGTTTTCCTAAATACTCATTGCCAAAATGATATATTTGGGGAAATACAGATTATGAAAGTTATTGATGAGATGAGCTCATGAAAATACATATCCATTTTCACCACAATTACAGGTTCTGTTTCTTGTTCATTGGATTTACTTTTAGCTGAACTGTGTTTAATTTACCCCTAGACTCCCCTTACACAGAATTTAAAAATAAGATCTACTGTGTTTTGTTAGTATTATTTTAAACAAACAGTTTGTTCTTGCTATGTTAAGGGGATGTTACAAGAAATAACAATATTTTGTAGTAAAAGCTATTATTATACCAAACAAACAGTTTACAGTACAAGTTATTATTTGTTATTACGATCATAATTAATCAATTAACGATATACGTCATGTGTTATTTCGATTTGAACCAATAATTTTACAGTAAATATCATTTTTGTAAATACAATTATATATATTTTATAGGTTATGTTATTATATTTAGCATATTATGTTGCATTTGTTATTTCAGATCCAGATGTAGTGAATTGTTATTTTTGTTCTTCGACGTCATCGTCCATAGATCATTTTTGTGCTGATCCGTTTAATACGTCACACCCGGCATTGACACAGATCAAATGTAATGGATATTGTGCTAAATGGGTTGTGGAGAAGGGAGAAGGTATGTACGATACTATGCTACATTATTCGGATTGTCAGGGCCTTTTACAGAAAACGACATGGGAGGGTTCAAACATCCGAGAACATGTCTTTTTGTCTTTGTTTAGGTTGACCGTAGATTTTCTCAAGTTTCATAAAGTTAACATGCAGATTTAGATATTGATGGGTTCAGCATTTGATTGATTGAATATTTTTGTGGCATAGAAAATGTTTTGCGGTCGGGAAAATTCTCGGGGCGAAACATTAAGATCTACATATTAATCAGAACGTGATTTAACTACAAGCTTTCATACTTCTGACCTGACCTATTGTTGTCATCTTGTACGTTTAGTCTACTGTTCAAAGGGCTTGGTATCTTTAAATGTGCTTAAAACAATTGTCTGGAATAAGCACAATTTATACTGACCCTGAATTCAAGCTAGAAGTTTGAAAGATTTATCATTGACATTGGCGTTTTTCCAACAATTCGGTAGAATGAGATAACAATGGAAAGCGTAAAGACATTCTATATATAAGAAAACTGTGTACATGTTGACAGTACAATAAATGTGTTGGTAACGACTGGTATTATGTAAATCTGGTGATATAATAATGGATACTGAAGGCTATGTACTGGAACAAACTATTGATTTATTGCCACTTTAGACATAACCATTGATTTCTAAATTCAATTTATCACCAATCTCGACCAGATAAACTGTCTTATTTTACACAGATCGTGGTAAAGATAGCCAGGTCAAATTACTGGCGATACAAGGTGATATTAAGTCAATTTCACATTGAAATTACGAAATTAGATATTTTAAAGATTGTAAGACTGCAGTATTTGATACTTCATGATAAAATAATGAAAAAAGAACCTGCCAATTGCTTTACACCATTCACTTGCTTATAATGCCTCGCCATGACTCATAAACTTATCTTACATTACTTTTTGATTATTGACTCGTACTCCGATCTTTGATTATGCTTCATGATGACTCAAACACTGATATAGTTTATCGTGACTCATTGAGCGCTTTTTCTCAGGATACCTCTTAGTGACTTATACAATAATCTTCATTGTTACTAGTTCACTAATCTTTGATCATGATGTCTCATCGTGACAGGTATACTGATCTTTGACAATGATGCCTCATCGTGACTCATGCACTGAAATTATCGTAATGCCTCGGCGTGACTCATACACTAAAATTAGCATAATGCCTCGTCGTGACTCGTACACTGAAATTATCATAATGCCTCGTCGTGACTCATGCACCGATTGTTGATCATGATGCCTCCTATAACTCATACACTGAAATAATCATAATGCCTCGTCGCGACTCGTGCACTGAAATTATTATAATGCCTCGTCGCGACTCATACACTGTAATTTTTATAATGCTTCGTCGTGACTCATACGATGAGTGAATCGTGAATCATACACAGATCTTCGATCATGACGTCCCATTGTGACTCACACAGATCTTCGATCATGACGTCTCATTGTGACTCACATAGATCTTTGACCATGACGTCTCATTGTAACTCATACAAGGAATTATAATTCCTCGACGTGACTCATACACTGATCTGTGATCATGGACACTTTTATATGTTTTTCTTAAAGGTGAAGTTCGTTATACGAGAACGTGTTCTAAACATATGAAGGTCAAGATGAATATTAATTTAGTTTGTATGAAGGAAAGGGGATCTTATACCGGCCATTTATGTTTCTGTGCAGAACATGGTTGTAATCAAGCAACTGAACAGAGAATGGTGCTTCCCTGGCTTACACTTTTAGTTATTACATCTTATCTAGCGTCTTGACAGAATATACCATAATTAGGTAAAGTAAAGTATCGATTGAAAGAGTGTTTTGTGTGGGATAAGAAGGACTAATGGCTGATTAGTATGCTTTTGAGATGCAAGAAATGGAAGAAAGAACTTAAATATGTGAACGGATTTCATATCTTTTAAAATTTATTATAGACCTATTGATAGTGTTAATATGTTGATATTAATGATTATACAGGTTTATTCCTGATTCTAATATTATATACATTTAGCATTTTATTATGTAACTTTTGCCATTCTTCGGACGGGATTTTTGATTGATGGAAGTGTCTTGCTTGTTTGGATTTGTATTATTATTAACAGTTAGAGCAAATATGTTTTAATAACATACACTTTATCACAAAGCCTATTAAATATTGTGAAACAATTTTAAGTATTTATGCTTTTTACCTTTATTTGGCTATTTGATTAAGTTTATAAAAATTGCATTCGAATTACACATACGCAGCATTTATATATAAATCTGAAGCTTGATGATAATGAATTTATAACTCTATATTTATTGCTGTTAGTCTTGTTATAACCAATGTAAGATAATGTTTCAATAATTTTATAATACTTATTCATTATGTTATGCTTTATTTATTACATTATAGCGTGTTAAAAACTCTTCATCATTTTTGATACACCGAAGGTAGCATGCTTATCATGTTTTATATGATGGATTCTCTTTATCATATGCTTTATTTAGTATTGTTAAACTGATAAATAATAATTCATAATAATGTTTTAATATAATAAACACTTTTTTGTCACACGTTGAATTTTTAAGTACTTCATCATAGCGTTATATTATACCATTAGTTGCATAATATTCTATGACAATTGTATGATTATACTGACTTTAACACAATGAACAATCTTTGGCTAACGACGTATATTTAAGGAATTATTTTTGATTTTTTATATATTTGTAGGCCTAATGTTTTATTATGTATTATATATTAGACGTATTTTCGAACGAAAAGTCTAATTATGGCTGAATTGGTATAGGTGTTTTTGGTATTGCAGTCTATTAATGAAATGCATTTTAGTGAAAACATACGTGGGGCTTTGCTGTTTGTACCGTTAAGAGTGACACTTATTCGTTGTATCATTATCAGTCAATACAACTATTAACTATATCAATATAATCTTGTGTTAAACTGTAATCGACAATAGATCTGGTAATTGGATCAATGTCTTCCTGACCTTGGAGAGCAGATTAAAAGGTCTATTTTGATTTCGACAATTAGATTATGTTCTACTGCGAATTTTCAGTTTGGAACTTTTGTATATTTATAGCATTTAATCTTTAAATCTGCCAAGAGCTTTTGAATATTCATGGCTACTTCTTTTGTGGCCTATTTAGAGCATTTCTTATAATACTGGGTGTTTTAATATCTTGACGGTACTCGGTTATACATAACTAACTATACTTTACTATAAAATATTACATTTCTATTCACAACTTTTATAATTTATGGGGCTTAAGGTTTCATAATTATTAAAAATAAATATTGTATTAAGAGTTATTTTTCGAAGGCATTCGATTCGATGGAATCGGTTCCCAGGATGAAAGTGTATGATCCATAATATTTACATCACCTTTTTGGCACAATTTCTTGTGGCTTGATGTAGTAGCAATAAACAAATAGATAACCAGGCCAAGCTTAAAATGTTCCTGATGTAGGCGTACGTACAAAGGCGAAAAACTTTTAAAAAAAAGCCAAGGAGAAAACTGGGTTTACTTTAAAGGGAGATAAAACAGTAAAATTTTGATTCTCTGACATTTTACTAGTGAGAAAATATTTTGTATTCTAGGTTGCTATTTAAAAGCATATTCAGAGAATTGTATATAAAGGGCTGCCATTCCATCAATTTCTTCCAATAAAATATCCAATATCTGTGATTTTTACTTCAATAAATATTCATTGTAAACATTTTTCATCTTTTTTAAAATATATATTTGGGCTTCATTGTTTAATGAAGCACCAACTATTGTCTGGTATTTATACGAAAAACAAACAGGTTCTAGTATTTAGTCGCATGTTATCTCAGTTGGATTGGGATTTAAAAAAAACCAGACAGACGAAGGGGTGCAACTCTTGCATGAAAATCTTTGTCACTTCAGCCAGAGACTAGTGAGCAAGACATTCTACTTGTCCACATATCTAAACGTAGCCCTTTGGAGTCCGCGTTTGATGGATCCATAATTCCAATCGACCGTCTTCAATTAGGTGCAATAAAGTAAAAGAATGAACTCGCGTACTATTCGAATTGTACATTTGGTGAAAGTGGTTGTAAAAACAATACAATTTAAATAACGAAAGCTTAGGCCGAGGAGAAAATTCAGCAACACCAATTACCGATATGTGCAGGAAAAAAGTGGCAAAAAGACAAATAAATTTGAGTTATTCATGGGAGAGCACTACTACATCTATTAGGTATTGTAGTATTTAATTGTTGTCTCCAGTTCTATATATTGACTTGGTTTGTACCGATCGTATTTCTTCTAGTCATTATCTAGGTCACGTATCTACTTATGTATTTTATCAAGTAAATATACTGATGTAAGTACAGCTTACTTTTCGGTTTTTATGTTCGCGTAGATTTTACGTTTTAAGATGGAGTGTTAATCATATATGCAGACGAGTATCAGAACAACCCTTCATCATTAGTGTGCTCGATTGGTGCGACTATTTCCCTGCACAGTAAAATTAAGGTCTAATCTTAATTAACTGTATTAGAAGGCTTAATTCAATATGCTGTCACTGGGTAGATTTTTACCTTTGTCAGTGATACAAACTCGATTGTAAAAAATAGCATCAAGTCGTTTGAAAAAATTATAAACCGAAGCACCTTGAGCTTGTAAAGAGTTAACAATAATCATAGCAATGTCTTTCAATGCACTCTGCTGCATCACCTGAATTGTCATCATTTGCCCATAAGGATATAGAAACGGCATTATACGTCTTATTAAATAGAACTATACAACAAAAACACCCAAAAGTTTCATGTATATAGAAAAATCAAAATACGTATGATAATATAATAATAAAAATATATGTTATGATACGTGTCTCTTATTTCTCAATACAATTCAAAAACTCGAACCAAATCAAATGTTGATCTCTTGTTTTTATTCAGTACTCAGTATGGGTTGTTTAAAGGTCTGTGTTATTATTGGTTGTATACTATGTATTGGTCTGGCCTATTTACTACACAAACCACTACCCGATGAAATAGAACAGAAATGGGAGTTTCGACTGATGTATCTTACCCTACAGTCCAAATTTATATGGGTAAGGAAATATATTTGATAGGTTTGGTTTAACTGTACTTACCCACACAAAGTTCACACTTTAGAACAACATAATTTGATATGATATACGATTAATGAAATCTCTAAGAAGTGATCATTCGATTAGTTGTATTCCCAAATCCTGTAAAAGTAAAGTCATTTATGGTTAAAAAGCCCTTTCCATGAGTTCATTTAACACTTTTTACGTTTAATTTTTTTGTGTGGATTTATTACAGTCGGAGTTAATGTACAGACTTGGGCTGGAAGGAGACAGATGGCCTTTTATAAGAAAAACCATCAAAGGATGTATGACATCACCAGCTGATTCGACTGGACTAAAGGTAGGACCACAATACAATGTTGTGTACTTCTTCAGCATATATAGTGAAGTATAATGTTTGCAAACCAGTAGTATCTTAAGCTTTAGTTTATGCCCCATATACATTGTACATATACATATACATACAGTTGTACCTTGATGTATAATTGCTGCATCATGTATTCAATATATATGTCGTATTGATCTTATGGGACAAAGCAGGGGCTGTATGATGAAGAATGTGCACGTCTCGACAATTGGATATCTAACAAAAGGTTCACACCCCGTGGTGCTATTTGTCCAATCCCAATATTGGACTCGAAATTCCGTTTTCTTTCCACAGATATCAAATAGTGAAATAGCCGGTGTTGATGTAAGAATATTTAAACCACAAGGTGTAACAGGATTAGTACCAGGCTTCATTTATCTTCATGGTGGAAGCTGGAGTATGCTTGATTCTGGTATTTATCTTTTATATATCATTTCATGTTAATTTATCTAACAGAGCTAACATTATACACGTCTTTACAGCAGTTTGCCGCATGTAATCGATATGTACTGCTCTCTATAAATATCTGCACCTCAGTAAATCATTTTTAACATTATCTTTGGTACAATTCATATGATTAACGGTTTTGGTGTAAATAACCATAATCAGACCTGGAAAACTTATTGAGGTCTTTCTATATTGATTTACTGATATTCTGTATTAAGAATACTGATACCATCGATTTGCATCATTCCAATATTTCAGACATATTTGAGTCTTGCAATTCACGTAAACCCTTAAATATCATTGCAAGAAGATTTTTTTTATAAATTATTTCCTATTTTAGAAATGTAATTTTTCAGAAACTTACGACAATCCCCTGTCTAATATTTCAAGGGAACTGAATGTGGTCGTCATAGGAGTGGAGTATGTATAATTTTATTGTATTCTTATGTATCATATCATGTCTTCCTAAAAATACACTCTCATCATTGTTTATGAGCTGATGTTGAATAGAATTCTACTATCTTGGATTTCGAACAACATTGTGGATAAACTTGAATGTGTTAACGTAATGGAAAATGTATCTTGTCAATTGAAATGCTTTTATTCGTAGACGATTGCCAACACAATCCTATAAATTCTGTAGTTCAGCATTTTAATTTAATGATTTATTTTTTATTTATCATTAGCTACAGACTTGCTCCAGAATTCCCCTTCCCTTATCCATATGACGATTGTTTAGCTGTTACTAAGTTTATATTAAATAATGGTGAATTGTATGGTATTGATACAATGCGTGTCGGAATTGGAGGTAGGAATTGATTTAATAAACACTTTCTGTTTACTCATTCGTATTCTTCCAACTAAAGAATTTCACATTACCAGCATTGTTTTTTAGCATTGGGCCTTTCCTCTTGCACTTCCTACTTACATCTAAGGACCATTTCCAGAATAAGAATTTTCTATTTCAGGCTAGAACTTTCAAAATTTCAAGCTTTCATACACCCAGCTTAGGACTTTCCACAATTCCTAGCTGAGGGCTTTTCTTATTACAGCAAAGGAATTTCCCATTTCCAGCTAAGGAGGTTCCTATTTACATATGAAAACTTCCAAATTTCCAGCATGGAGTTTCCTACATATAGCTTCAAATTTGACTACGTAATGCTTCATCATATATTTTAGGTGACAGTGCAGGGGGTAATTTAGCAGCCGCTGTTCTGTATACATTACGAAATGAACAACAGCAACCAGCAGTCAAAAGCCATGTTTCTATTTATGGTGTTCTACAGGTATGTGATTTCACACTGCCTATATATCAAACTAGAGCTAAATATGAGAAACATTTTAAGGCACAAGCTTTATATTTGACTGGGCTGTATTTAAATTTGACCGAAAGTCAGTTGGATTTGTTTATGTATGGTGATTTTTCAACGCCAGAGTTAGATACACTGTGTAAAAAATATGTGAACTTGAACTATTTGCCATCGGAATTATTGTTTGAAGGATATGAACGTGGTGATCATGTTGCTGAGGAGGTTACTGAAGATGTACGAACGCTATCAAAGATTGTAGCAAACCCGCTTATTTCACCATTATTAGTGGAAGATTTGAGTGGTTTACCCACAACTCTGGTGTTGTCTGTAGGTTGGGATATTTTAGGAGATGAGAATCAGATCTATGCTGGTAGATTGAAGGCTGCTGGTGTGAAAGTGACTAGTGTTCATATGAAGGAATCATTCCACGGATGTTTTAACCTATATCATATAGGTTTCAGATCTGGTGTTAGGGCATTAAACACTGTCAAGAAATTCTTAAAAGAGACACTATAAGGGATTTTTTGTTAAATAGTTATAGAATATCCCCCAATATACTAAGAAAGCTTGTTTCTATACAAAACTTCCCCAAGTTAATACCATTAACAGTAAATTCTAGAAAAAAGTTTTTACTACAAAAATATGAAAGAAATATTCATAATTAACGGAATGTCTAAGGATTGGTGAACCAGGTATATCTATTTTGATTAATGTGACCTTTAACTAGACCATGGGCTACAGTCGCTTTAAATCCTCCATCTACCAGTTCAGCTGTTACTGTAGTAAAACAGCTACCCATTGTTATATAGGGTGGTAGGTTTAAAAATACCAGATCTGTTACAAACGAACCGAACACAGCTTGACGTGCCTGCAAGAATAAGTACTTTATATTATTCAAATGCTCAGATAATTTGCACTAATAGTTCGTAAACCAATTGCCTTTTTTGTTAGCATTATCCTACTGCGTACTCAATATCATGTTCACAAAATACTTTGTGCACGTGGGCAATATTTCTAGTACTATTTCACTAGATGTTACCAACTAACATTATTAAGACAAGACCGTAACTTTGGTACATTTTCTTTGAGACAAAAATCCTGTTTTCTTTGAATTCAGTTAGGTCTTTAGTTAGCTTTTGGTAAAATTTCAAGCGGTAACTTCCTTTACCGTAGACATCACATAAACTATATATTTAGCGAATATTATATTCATTTCTATAATTTTTCAATAAAATTTCCTTTTAATTTTCTTACGGTGGGTCAGAGGCTACCTCAGGCGTCAAAATGAAGAAAGGAGTTATGAAGAGTTCAAAGGATTTTAAAGCATTATTGATTGAAAGTTGAAAATTTCAAGACTTACTTTTTGAGCTTCAAAAATATCAAATAAAGCCTTATACATGATCCATCTATCAAATTTAACAACGCTATTTTTCATTGGGGAACCTTTTCTAAACTGTAACAAGCCCCATCTAAAAAGAAAAATCAAATGTAATACTATTTGAAATTCCAAAACACTCAGTACATACGTATATTTGTATTCTCTTTTTAAAATGATAGCAACGTACCTATTGGGTAAATGAAGTGCTATTTCACCAGTTGGATTCCAAGAATACCAAGAGGCTTCCGAACCAGGCACCTAAAAAAACATATAAGTTACTGTTAGGTCGTTGACTCCTTGGTAATCCAGTAAATAAGAAGTAAAAGACTAACGAGACTATAACTGTATCTCCGTATAACTATGATATACTGCTTTTCTCTAACGAGTATTTTTTTTAATTGGAATATCAGTTTTAAAACCGTCCATGTTATGAGTATGATATTCGAATAATTCGAGGACTATTTAAGGTCTACAGTACTATCAATATTTATACCTGTTGATAACGCCCATTTGTGCTGTTGATTTCCAAAGGATATTCTGTTCTGGAATATAAAAAACTTCAGTAGGCTATGTCTTAGATAAATCTCATGGTTTTCATCAATTCGCTATAACATATAATTAGAATCAGTTATTGGCATAAATTCACAATCAGAAATTTATACAAGTAATGCCACTAACCTAGCCATGATCATAAACCATACTTCATTATCTTCTGCAGGTCCCGGTGCCCTAGTGGTATTTTCGGATAAAGCCTCAAAGGGAAAAGCCATTTCTACAGACCAGTATGTGGCTATGAAAAAAAATCATACCAATCATACGTTCTAACCGTGAACCAAATATTTCAAAATCAGGATAACAACACATAGTAACATACACACAGTTGATGTTATTTTCTTTATTTCTACGCCGAAAAAACTATGATCATTACAATAGCTTGGAACTTTTATTTTTGTATCTATTATTTATTCAATGTCTGTGCAGTTATTGGTCAGTTTTACAGTTTATTTCACATCACCCAGGAATATTAGTTAATATAAAATGCACTATTCTTAAAACAAAATAAAGCTTCAAATCTGATATTGCTGCAACTGTATCATAAAATGATGCTCATGAAATTGAAATTAAAATGAAGATTGTCTTACTGTTTTTACTTGGTATATTTACTAGGCCATCTGTGTAAACACCTTTAGCTGAAATACCTTCCCAATCAACAAAGTCACCACCATCATCATAGGCCTGGGAACACAGATATTCCATAAGAAATTTCATTTTTTAAAAACAATTTTGGTGGTCAACTGAAGTTTTAGATGAATTTTTAATCAAATTCAAACATTGTCTTAAAACAACATTCTGTAAAATAATTTTGATCATTTCACTCTAAACTGTGAAAAAATGAACTTACTCTGGTCAACATGAGATCCCAAGTTGTCCCTAACGCATTGATTTCTATCTCTTTGTACCTGTAAATCAATAACATTGCGTAATAAATACTGTTATTGTAACGCAGGTTAAACAGTAAAATGGACCACTCAGAATACATGGCGATCCCGAGTCGTCAACTCAATAGAATAAAATTATGTTCATGTTCAAACCACGCTCATTGCATCATACTTCCTTCATTTGAAATATGTCAAAACTAATGATAATTCTTTGATGTAGCAGTTTCTGTGACAGTTGTCCACAAAGCTTTTCAGTAGAAAAAAGATGCCGGGTTCAACCAGATTTGAATGATCAGAGGGCTAACTCTCTTCAACCCTTACCTCATCTTGTAAAGAGCAAATAGTATCCACGTTATAGTAGTGGAATACCGATCAGGCGACAATTTTATTCGATCTCTAATTCTCAACCAACCATGCTGGGTTGTTATATCTAACTAAATTCAGTTTAATACAACCAGAACGTATAAGCGGACGATAATTCTATTATGTTCCTGATGATATTTGATTTTGTATACTTACATTCGTAACCCTCTCTCTACATCGAAAAATACCTCAAAAGCGTTCTCTTGGTAAACTAGAAAACAGTTACATGTAAATTCTCAACAAATTAAATAAAAATAATATGAACTGATTATCAAGTTGAACCAAGCATAATGTAGTATCCACGTACTGCTTATTTGAAACAGAAAGAAGGTTTATTTAAAATGTTGGCTAGATATTTTTTCGTTGCGGATTGGTAATTTTAAATTGTGGATATCTTCTGGCTTACTTCGGGAGTCTTTTACATCATACGTAGCCCAAACTTTATCCTCCTTCAACCAGGCACCAACATACACATGTGTATCATCCCATCTTATCTTCACTCGAGTTTCTTCTTTTGGTTTAGGGTAGCGAATTCCTCGAATATCTGTTTTAAAATAAATAACTAGAATTACCTCTTTGGAACTAGCAAGTCATATGAGTACATCGTCAATTAAAATTAAATCATTATTGTGCCAAAAATAAAATGAAAAAATATTTTGGCCAAGGCATTTAAAAGCCTTATCATTGAAAGCATTCTGTTAAAAGGTAAATTTGATGGACAGGCCAGTTATTGTTGGAATCACGAGCGAATATTTACCCTTATTACATACATGTGTACTATATCAGTACAGGAGATACCCCATGTATCCATACTAAATATATATATTGAATACGATCAGAAATATTGAAAACTTATAAAAACAATAGTGCTGTTCGACCATATATTATAGTTACATTTTATTGTTAAGATGCCCTTTCTTCGGGAATCTTTATTTATTGATAATAAAATAACATTTCTACAAGAGTATATGACGTTAATAAACCTTGTTTTTGGAATATCATTAAAGAATTGTTAGTTAGAAACGTACCTAAGAAATCTTCCGTATGATCAACTTCTTTCCATGCTTCTTCATCCAGTTTACCATCTACTGTTATTGTTTTACCATTTAAATGATACGCTACATAATTTCTAGGTAGTTCTATCTCACAATTTTTAGCTTCGTATATTTTTCTTTGACATTTATTTTGGTAGCTGAAATGGTGTTTACACTAAACTAAATTCAGAAAAGAAGGAAAGACAATCTATAAATGATACACTATAAAAGGATGCATGTAGGGTTATAAATGAATAAAGCTGGGTGTGTTTAGCAAGTTTCAGATTATCCTATCCGATTTTAATCTGAGTATAAACAAAACATTCCCGGAAAAACATTTCGTCCTGAGGTGAAACCCACGAACCAGTCGATAAACAATGTTAAAGCAAGTTTTGTAATTTATAAATACCCTAAACAACAGCATTTAAGGAACCACCATTTTTTCCTATTTTTAACGACAATTTGAAAAAATTAAATACCCTTCTTATTTGTGCTCAAATTGTTTGTTATGGTTAACCCTCTTCTTTCGATTTCACATACCATGGAGTATGTTGTATATTTATTTAAGATCTAGAGTATAAAGGACGATAGAGAATGACCCAATAATAACAGTGATAACGACGTGCGTATATTGTAAATTTTAAAGTGGTAAGAATAACTCACTATCATAATTAATGATTTGAACAGTTGGGGACTGTCTGTTTTCTAAGGGCCCCGTCATACATGAAAGGAGTCCTTACTTGGCTGCTATACAGCGATGGAAAGTGTGTTTCATACCTAAAATATCTTTAGACAAGCGTCGTAACATTCCGAACCAAGTAAAAGTAAAATGCACCAAACCCATATATTATTTAGATGCGTGCCTTGGGTACGCAATATAACAGCTTGGGTGCGACTGTTAAAGAATTGTTTAACCTTATGGGACGGCAACAAGATATGACAAGGCTACTAAAAGCTGCTTATAGATAATTTCCAGAAATGATCGTTTTCAGCCAATTTCAGGTCTTTGAAAGGAAGAATCTTTTAGGTAGGCCTTCATTGTGCAATGTCTAAAGTCATATATAAAGCAATGACAAATCCAAATGTTTTTTGTTTGTTTGTTTTTTTAGTCCATCTTTTTTGTTCTGGTTCAGGACATGGTAAAATAACCGCTAACATATAACATTTTCATGGTCTTTAAATTCTTAAACTAGTTATAGAAGCACTAAACCTCTCATCTTTTGTTAAGAAATTAATTTGGGTCAAAAAAGTTTTTCTTTTACTTTGACACAATTAGAAATACACCTACCTTTGTAGTAAAGGAGATGACTGTTGAGGAAGGCCTTGGGTCTCCGCTTTCGGTGCTGTCCGGCTTGGGATTGAGAAATATCCAGTAACCACACCCAATCCAAAAAAAGTCACACATCCCAACAGACATCCGAATATTATACATCTTCCAGAGTGCTGCATCCTCAATTTACTGTTATAGTTATATTAAAACAAATATAAAAGTATGCTTATCTTCTTCACGGAAGTTATTTATATATGTTAGGTTGAGATTTTCTTCTAGAGATATTATTGTCACCACAAGCTTACACTGGTATTAAATATACACTGTACACATAAATATATATTTCATACTCAAGGAGTTCGCGGTTCGACAGTTAGCAAATATACCTGTAGTAACTTACCTTTTAAATTATACTTAACCATAATACACATGTGAACTAGTAAGTGACAACGGAGGTTTCAGGTCAAACCATTTCAATCTTTAGACGTTAATTTTATTTCACACCTTCATATTCCTCATTACACATTTCTATAAGGAAGTCAAAATATAATTGGCCCGTATGCACCAAATGAAATTAAGCCTAATTTAATTCTATTCTGTCCGAATAACATTAACTTTTAGTTTAATTCTATATTTTGTATGCACCACATAGAATTACCTAAAATGTATTTAAAAATTGGCTAATTTAATGCTAAACTATAGTTGGTTGAGACCAATTATAACTTTTAATTCTATCTGTAAATCAGTCGAAATTCCTTTTCCAATGTTTCCAAATGGAGGATTATTTCGTTCGACGAACTTGGTGAAATCAACCGTGTTGAGGAGGAATTTAAAGCAAGTTTTGGATTGAATAAGCAATCTGTGTTGAATATCACTAATAGTTTGCAAAAATGAAACATGACATGGATTCCATATCAAATTTATTATGACGTTCATTTGCTCCTTCGAAGAAAAGAAAGAATTAAAGATATCGTTTGATCTTACTCTTGTTGATAATTATCATAAAAGCTGTAAGACAACAGATGAGAGTATATAGAGTTTCGGACTACAAGACATCCACATTATCTAAAGCAGTGATTAAAATGTTAAATAAGAAATATGTCTTAGTGACCAATCTTTAGACTTTTTTGTCATATATAGATTGTGTATAGTGTGTGGTTTGAATGGAAAATAGAATTTCAATTACAGTACCGATAAATATATTAGTTAATTGTTAGTTGGTTAATACAAAAAATACAATTATCTTTAAATACATTTAACTAAATCTATTTAAGGTTTAAAATAATTCTATTCTTCTTAATTTGATTTTATTTTAATTCCATTTGATATCATGTAGTGGCATCTAGACTGTGTTGTGTTAACGAAGTTTTTTCATTTATATATGCCATTATACGTATGTTTTAAGGTATGTAAATCGGCTTGTAGAAATAAATAATGTTCTTTTTTTTAAAAAGAAGGTCATCTTCATATTTCACAGACAGATTTTGTGTATACTCATTTAAATTCTCATTTCGACTATGATATAAGTATTTCAAATATACCTTTTACGGCGAAAGTCCTCTAAACCAGCATCCCATGGGACTTGTTGGAAATATTGGTAATAATAGACTATTCAAACATTCACCATTAGCTAAAATACACCCTCTCACTAAATTTCCTGAATGAGGTTTTGATATTACTTACAACTTCAGATGTTTATTTAGAATAAATCTGATGAAGTATAATAACAAATTTAAAAACCAGTGGCTTTACTTTGGTCATTTTAGTCATCTGATCAGTGAATACCTTATATCGATTTCAAATATAGTCTTATTCTCCAATCAAATTACTGTATCTCTTCTGTTCTTTCTTAGTTTTAGAGATTAAAATCCCAGATTATTTTCAATGATTTTCATAACACTGTTAATCTGTTTGAACCAATTTCAAATAAACATGCTCGTGGATAGCTTGTGTCACGATTTAAATGAGTGTAAGATGATCACTGTCACTGCCCATCTTAAGAGTAATTAGCTTTAACGATGAATGAAATGAAATACTGTCAATCTGGATCATATATTAGTAAGAGAGTGTCTGTCAGATAAGCATATTTACTAACAATAAAGAAGATAATAACAATGAACTATTTATTTACAAACTTAAGTACAATTATGGATAAATATACAAATATACAAACATTTTTCTATAAAAATTCAGACGTCCATAAAAAGATAATTTCAAGCATTCCAGTGAACAATTCTGTAACTGTTAATGTGTTGAAAGTATCTAGAGGAAGTATTTCAATATTAGTTTCATCATGTCCCTTATTCATTAAATTCTTGTCTTTATCTATATTGCTCTATATAAAGTATGGGAGTTACTTATCTCAAAACTAGATGGAATGACTCCTTGGGATTGATAATGTTTTACCGATTATAATTGAAGATATTGAAAGAAACACGAATATACTTCCCAAATCAAGCGACAATAGCGCACCATAGTATAGTTTAATAGTGAAACAACAATCGTACAATATTTAAGCAGTTTAAATTAAGTAGTTAAAATCTTCCGATGATGGAAGTTTCTTTCATTAAGAGTAAACTTGATTTAATCCCCATGCGTTATTAATATACTAAAAGAATTCTTCCTTTTCATCACCATACCAAATATACCTATCAGTTCTAATATGTCCTTCTTTTAGTTTATTATCATTAGGGTAAACTGTTACAGTAAAACCTCCCCAATCAATCTTAACTTCGACCTTCTTAATACATTTACCTGATAAAACATAGGGTGGTATATCTAATAAAGTGACGTCATCTGTATACCTTCCATTCACTGCTTTATATGCCTGAAAGTATATCGGGGAAAGTTGAAGAAGTAAAGCTCTTTAGGAATGGTTTGAAATGAACCTTTTAGGGAAAATTTTAAGACACCATACTCTTTTTGGAGAGTATACGATGCCTAGGTCTTTGGAAACTTTGAAGATGACAAGCTATTTAGCCGTAAAAAATATCCGTATTCCTTTAAAATACTAAGCTCTTAAAAAATATTAAAATGTCAACGATAATCACTCTTCGTATGCAAACCGTCCTATAACTACACCGAAACTCACGTTCAACAGTACGTTAATCAGATTTAATATAAATTTAAAAGGGAGAAAACTCTTACTTTCTCAGCTCTGAAGGTATCCAGTAATGCATTAGTTACAATCCATTCTTTACCAAATTCAAATGTTGATGTATTTACCACTGCTTTTGTAAACTGCAGTAAACCCCATCTGTGAAAAATATAATAATTAATTTCAATTCAAAATCATCTATGAAATAAAGACAAGATGGGACTATTCTGTAACATCCCCCTTCTGTTACCTCCACATCAATTCCAACCCCAAAACTAACACAAATACACAATCCTTGCAATGACTATCGTGTAACGCGGATCTTGGTAATTTGCCACACCTTGGGAATGAGAAAGATGACATGAACAGATCAAAACTGACAACATGTTGAATTAGGTAGTTGCAAATAGTACAAATAAGAATAATACAAAAGCCTATACCTATCTGGAAGATGAATATTAGATACACCAGGAGAACTCCATACCCACCAACTGGCTTCAACACCTAGTTTCTACAATACAAATTATACATATTTTTAATGAAAGTCATTAAAGGTCAGCGTGAAATTTTTAAACCGTTACGGCATAAGGCTATTCAGATTTTTTTTTAATTTTTAATTTGAACGCATGTGAATTTCAATAAAATAAATATAATTTAGTAAAATATGTACCTTTTGGTATTTTCCATCAACGACTTCCGTTTCATATTCTGGTCTGAAAATAACACAGCATAAATGAGCATCTGTTTGTAATTTGTAATTTTAACGTTAATGCATAAGTAGGTCAAGTGGGTAGAGTTCCTCAAAGCGATTTCCTATGTTGGAGATACAAACCGGGATCTCCGTTACAACAAGCTGTTATTGCAAAGATTCCGCAATAGTTCGAGATCGTAATGCCGGTGTCCTGAAATAATTTCCCGCATTACAGAATGTAAATTGTATACTGTCCGTTTCAATCTGTCCAAAAAATTCAGACAGGACAGAATCTGTGCTGTTACAGCTCATAATGGTACTAATTTGACTTTACCTTACAAAGTTGGCTCTCCATGTTTCACCATCCGAGGGATAATCATGTTGTCTATATAAACCAGCATATAATGTAGCAAATGGTATCGACATTTCAACGGTCCAAAATTTATCTAGAAAAAAACGTTATCAAAAGGTTATTGATATAAGTTAAATGCATTACGACGCCTGTGGAAGAAAGTCATTTGCTTTTCTTTCTCGAAGGTCTCGAACATTTCAGACAGTGGATGCATAGGCCATGCTACCAATCTTATTAAATTAAAGTCTAGAGAAAACTCAAAAGCAACTTACTGTCTTTATTTGGGTTGTTTATTGGTCCATCTACAAATACTGCTCTATTTACATCACTCTCCCAGAAACTTAACGGTTCCCCATCATTCATATAGGGCTAAAAACATCACAATTGAAAAGAAGGGACGGATAAGAACAGAACGATGAATTTCTCATGGTTTAATTCAATGTCCCGGCATTGTTTCTTTAAAGTAGATAATGTTTGATTAAACTGGGAACATGTATTCCTTGACTATGCTGCTTCTTGTGCTAGCCTACGTTATAGTTGTTTTCGTGACGTTAAGGTGCATCTTATGCTGGCCTATGTTGATAATGTAGAAATAAGGTAAGTGTACTAAGACGTTTCAAAATTTAATTACAAGTACTTACCCTAGTTAACATCATGTCTGACATGGTTCCTATAGCATTAATAGTTAATTCTTTATATCTGAAAAAATACCATAAATATCATCATACAGATATATCAAGCATCAAGGTACATATTATATACGTTCAAAGTTCCATGTTAAAGCGATACTAGGTCTTAGAATGAACATAAAATTTAAGAATTTTAAACTCGGCCAATAAATGCACATATTCATCAGTAGATACACCTGGTGTCATAAGGATCCCTATATAATCCAACAAACTTAGTAATTATCCATAAATATGGAATTCACTATTGATAACCGCTTAATATCAAGATTAAGCGTTTTTCAATAATTACTTAATTTTATGAATTTTCCAATTTTCAAGATTTTACAGGGAATTTGTTGTTACTTTATGACACCAGGAAAGTTCACTGATGAATATAGACTAATATTGACAATTCCAGGGAACTTAAATTTTATGTTCATTCTAACTTTAACTGAAACTGGTTTCTACTGGGTGAAAAATGAAGATATATTTTCTGGGGCATTATTCCATGCAAGTGTTTTTCATAGTGTACCAGAAGACAGTGATGTTCTTACTTGTGATTGCTCTGTCTTGTATCTAATAGAACTTGTATAGCATTATCCTGATACACTGAAATAATATGATCAAAAACTTGTATTATTAGGAAAAAATCAAGCTACAGTTACTTTCTGAAAACATATAATTTATCATCTTCCGGATATGACGGATTTAAGAGAAAAGCTATCACTTTCTTAAAGCACAACAGAAGCTATAGTTTTCATCTTATTGAAATGAGAATTGATGTGGACTTGATTTCTGAGTGATTGCACTTATACTTATGTAAGTGATACTTTATTTTCTATATCGCTTTACACTTGCTATGTTGAGAAAGATTTTAACAGTGAAAATATTTTGTTATTGTATAAAGCTTCTTATCATACTGCTGGGAAAGACGGAAACTTCCTACACCATATTATTATTTGTTAACAGCTGCCATTGGTTTATCCAATAATTCGAAACAAGCTATCTTGAGGATATTTAAAACTTAGCCTACCTGTGGTATCGTGTAAAGATTTATTCGCCCAAACATCAGTTTCTTCCATGTAAGCAGCAAAATAAAAATGAGTATCATCCCATCTCACTTTAATTCTTGTTTCAAATTTAGGCTTTGGGAAATCTGCTCCTTTAATGTCTACAAAAAGCGAGAAGTTATCAATTTACATGAAGATCAAGAAGGTTACCTGCAAAGCTCGTACTGAATGAATGACTTTTGTTTGCATTTTAAAAAGAAGACCTTATTAATACAAAATTGTAACCGAATTTGACAATCGGGTATAAGCAAAACCATAACGAAAATTACCTATGAATGGATCACTCCAAGGTACATCCTTCCAACCCTTGTCATCTAGTTTACCATCGATAGTAATGACTTCAGTCTCTAGATGGTATACTTGATATGTTTTAGGTAATGGTATATGACAAGTATAAGCACGACAAGCCTGGATATCGTGAGCTTGTAAATATCTGAAGGTAAAACCAGAAACAATTGCTTATTTTTAATTGTGCCAAACGACCTTGGATGGTTAAACTCTGGTTCTATGTATCAGTACAAGTTTGGGGTGATTTCGCGGAAAGGTTCCAAATCTGATGCTATTAGTGTCCAAATAGTTTGGAAGATCTCTTTACAATCCGCTTAAGGGACAGAGCAGTATTATTACATTCTTTTCCAGATTTATCGGTATTTCCATTTTTTAGAAAGGCACTATTGGATCTTACAATAACACCTAAATTCACCCATATTGAAGAAACTTCCTTACTTCTGAACATAAGCTTCTCCTTTAGCAGCTTGACTACAATTCTGTATTAGATGTTCATATGTTCTGTTATGTGAATCTACAATGATGTGTCCACTGTTCACAGGTTTATGCATAGCTGGTCGCAATAAATATCCTATTATTAATCCAGCACCCATAGACAAGGCAGCAATCACTGCCGTCACTATGACAGAAGACGAAGATTTTTTAAACTCCATTGTTCAGTTTTAGAAACCAACTATATTATAGTTTGTCCACGTTGTTTTATTACCAAATGAGATTGGTACTATTTCAACAAAATCATTTTAACCGAATGAATGAAGAATTAGTGTACATTCATTTAATTCGACATATCATACTAAGATTTAAATAGTTATTGACGTCACATCGTAGGCAAACGTGAATTAACATAACGTGTAATGTCAAATTCTCGCGAGATTTTTCATCGAATAAACGATGTTAATAGTTTCAGACGACTCAAATCACGTCATAATTAGAACAGACGAACTCTATAATTCGCGACTTTTTCAAACCTGCACACAACAGCTTAGAAAACCATAGTTAATCTTTTTAACAAGACGATTGCCACATTATTTCTAAGACTTTACACAAAGCTTTCTATCGTATTTTTTCTTAACTCTTACACAATCTTATTGTGTTTTCAACAATAGATTATATGTTAATCGTTTTATTTTTTCAGGAAAAAAGTTGTCTTAACATCTTAACTCATCTTTTAATGACTTCCGGTATATCGAGGGTATTTCCGTAAGTATCAGATTCGTAGAGGTACATCTCAATTCCTAGTTGTCTAATATTTCATACTAAACTAAATATAAAAGTGACAAGTGTCCGAGTCGCACACTATAGGCCTCTGGTAGTGATGGGGGTGGGGGAACAGTCACCACTGTCACCCGATGCAAAAGTGCATCATGCCATTAACGGTAATTGAATGTATGGTAGCATTGATACTAACATTGAGGTGGATCGTTAACTCAAGTACATTTGAGTTTCCTCGTTGGAAAGAATCCCTTCTAAACGGATACTTTTGGGACACCCACCGTGTTACTAAGTGATATAGAGAGACTACACTATTTGTTATGACCAAGATACCAGTCAATGTTAGTTAGTATACACTACCTATTCTGTCAACTTTTTCACTATTTACTTTGTAATGGTTGTTTGGACTTGGTGTTTAAATACTAAAGGAATGTGTTAAAACAGACTAAAACTAACAAACGTTTGTTTTTCTACTGAATTAAAATAATCAACATTCGAGTTCATAAGACATTTAAGTAATCGAATCCCATATTGGCAACTAGCAGTAGCCTTCAGTAGCCAGGATGAATTTCAAGATCCATCAACCATCTAATGTCCAGAATTAATATCATTTATGTGATATCTGAAAGTTGTTATTATGATTATAGACTTTATCGTGCATACAAGAAAAATTTAACGAGTCAAGGGCAATAACTGTGAAACCGTTCATCCGATTACTAATTTTGAACTAGACCGAAATCTCATCAATATATACATGCATACCAAGATCAGATAAAAGCTGTAGCCTCTATCATGCATACATGAATTGTGGACGGACGGACGGACAGGTCGACGGCAATATACGTCCACGTTTCTCTATCGGCATTGAAAAAATAAAACTTTCAGAGACTTTCAGTCAGATACTTAAAATTGGAATTTGGCCTACTTGTGGGCGCACATATGAAGTTGTTCTGTTTCAAATTCAAGTTGCTACTACAGTGCTACAGCACTTTTAATCCAAGACACTTCCAACAAACAGCTTTCGGGGGCTTTTCCGCTCTTCAATGTCGATTTTCACGAAAGTTTGAACAATTTCTGGTTACGACTGAGGTCGACGCCGGGCATCATAAGCTTTACTTTGAAACCAAAATCCTACATCTACCATAATAGTACGGTGTTTACTGCATTCTATAACACAGTCATGACATGGTGCTGACCATCTTCTTCGTTTGCCATTGTAATCTTACGAGATTTGAACCATGCTACAAGCTTTTTATAGCAGTCGATCATGCTCCACTCTATCGCCAATCAGAATCACTTTTACATGCGAGTATCGGCATCGTCATAATTCGGAAGTCTTATCACTCTACTTTGAAAACCCGAAAAATTTTTATCGTAATTGTAATCTAATCTTAATTACATTGGGTGTTGGCTGACATCATTTCATCAACCTTTGAAATGTTCCTTTAATAGTAAGCACAAAAATCATGTTTTTATTGTATCTAGTTTAGTCGAATAATTCAGACGGTCTACTATCTTGGCATCATCAGATTCAAAGCATCATTTTTTATTCATTAAAAAATTCATAGCTTCATGGTAAGACGAAAGAGCCTGGTTCGAGTAGCAATTATTATTTGTTTTTTACTTGTTATTATTTGAGAACCTTTTTCTTGCTTACCGGCATAGATCAGGTAAATTTGGATTTTGACTCATTTTCACCTTGATTTAAGTCTATACCTATTTTTAATTTAAATGAAAGACATAATAGAGATCATGGTTTACGCCCTACTGTTTGCTCTGGATTGGCCACCACTTTCTTGGAAATTAAACTGTTGATGGATCTTTGAGACTAGCTGCTTGCAGTCAGTCTATTTACCCCCTAGACGCTTCTTTCATGACACCCCTTCGACTGACAACTGAAAATTGTTTCAAGCAACAATACCATCAGCGCGTAATGCTCCAATTCCTCATGTCTACACATAAGAGGAAATTCAGGGTTCGTCCAGGTTTAGGTCAATAAAAGGAGTTTGGCGAGTATATTTAGGATGATTTTGATTCCTCTGTCAACATAAAATGTTCGAACATGAAGTAGAACATCCAAGTAATACCGTCATGAGCTATCGGTTATGAAAGTAGGTTTTAAGCTCAGATGTTTCAAGTGACTAATCAGATAAGAACGGTATATTGTATCTCAGAATTCGAAAGTTACCAAAGGGATTTTCTTGGGTTCTCCTAATATCGCATGTCTTGAAACAGAAGAAATACGGAACTTGTAACAAAAACGAATTTTATTTGTGCAATTGGTATAATACAAAGCATAGTGTATTATATAACATATTTACACTAAATGTTTTTTACTAGTTAATGCCCGGACAAGACAACTTTTGACAGTGAATGCGTTGAGTATAGCGTTCAGTGTAAAGTAAATCTTCAAGGGAAATAACTATTAGAAAATTAGAAACTCATTATTGACAAATATTGAAAAAACCGTAAATCGTAGATTAAGTACAATGTACAATAGAGGCATGAGAGGGTATTCCACAGAAGGTAGGCCTATATATCATACTGATTTCAAACCTTCGGAAAATTAAAAACAGAGAAATCACATGTTGGTACTATAAATTCTTTGATCAGTTAAATGATAAGTATTATTCTTGTGCAAACAAGCGGTTCAATCGTTTCAATTTTTTTTTTATGAATTTAATTGGCTAATATTTCGTGTTACAGTTTAGACAGGATACAATATTCTTTAAAATTAATAAGCAGTAATGAGAGATTCTCGTGAGGTTTTCTTCAGTGAAAGATTCTATTCAAATTTGACACCAGGGCTCCGTGGTTCTATTAATTCCAGATACTGTATTCGCACGATACTTGTAATCAGGTAAGTTTTTTCTACAATTATAAGTATCAAAACTTCAGAAGAGAAATCAGAATATAACAAAAGTAATCCTGTTCCAAGTTAGTATTTCTATTTATGACTTTACAGCAGAATTTGAACAAGAAGATAACAAAGAGATTAATCTAAAAGACTTCTTCTGTATCATCACCAAACCACAATAATCTATCAGTTCTAATATGTCCTGGTTTTAATGTATTGTCTCTAGGTGTTACAGTGATTTGAAATCCAGACCAATCTAATTTCACAGATATATTTTGAATACATTGTTTAGAGATAGTATATGGAGGTAGATTTAATAACTCTAATTTATCTGTATATCTTCCAGTTACTGCTTTATATGCCTGCAAAAACAAAGAAATCATCTATTGTAATGTAATATCAAAATATAATTAAATATCATTAGTTATGAGGAAAAAAGTGAAATGTGGGGTTTCCAGCAGAACGATGGCTCAAAAGTGCAAAGGCAGAAAGATGATCCTGAGATGAATTTTGTCCACCAATAGAATCACGGATCCAAAATAGATAAATGGAACAATAGTCAAGAGGCGACTAATAGAGGGATATTGATTTGAAAAACCTGATCACAGAAGTCCATACTAATGATGTAATATTTATATATTGTGTTATGTAATAAATTTGATAAACCATTATAACTAGATCGCCAGTATAAGTTATCCTATATAGTTATAATTTTCGATATACACAATCTAAATTGCCATAAGAAGTTGGAATCACAAGTATCTTTTTATCTAATCATTACTGATGACCATGCTGCTACAGATACGTGGATCGACCATATAGTTTTACTGTATACGATATTGAATATACATAAATCATTGTTATATAATCCCACCTTTTCGGCTCTAAATAATTCAGATAGAATATTTGTGAGAAGCCAATATTTTGATTGTTGAAATTCTGTACTATTTACTGGAGCTTTTCTAAACTGTAACAGTCCCCATCTGAAATACATTTAACATCAACTGAAACTTCAATAAACAGTTTTGATTATCAAAATTCAGATACTCCATAAGATAATCAAAGGTGATTCGATCTAAAAGTTTACTGTTTTAAGCATGTGGTGATACGTTAAAGGGCAGTTGCCCATAAATATTATTGAATATATGGCAGATTTGGTTGATTTGGTTGTCTTTTAATATTGAGTTCTGATATAAATATAAGCAAACATCATTTTATCAAAAGTTGATCAAAAATGTTTCTGTATATATTGCATTCATTAGGAACTTTGAATGGAATTGTTGCCAGATACATACAGTGTTCGACAGCTATGTAAAGCCATAACATCTATTGTGAGATAATGAATGAAAATGTATTGCGCTATGTTACAGAACTGATAATTAACATACATGTCAGGAAGGTGACTGTTTATTACACCATTAGAATACCACTGCCATAAATCTGTTTTACCACCTACTTTCTGAAAAATCAAAATAAAAAAAAAGATAAATCAATACTTCGTTGAAGTTGTCTCAAATGATCTATACAGCCATTTCATATTATAGATTGGTTTATAATCATGCTTGATAAGAAATTTTTAATATCGTTTTTGATTTCCCTGAAAAAGAGTGTTTGCTATAGAACCCAATTTCTCACCTTCAAATATTTTGAGCCACTGATTTCAACTTCGTGTTCAACCCTGAAATATATTTATCATGGGCTTATTTGAATAAATAACGAATCGACTTTTTTTTATTTCTTTCTGCTATAGTCACGACAACAATTTGGTGATATTTTCTCATACAGCTATCTCTGAGATATAACATCCAAGTACCTTGACTATCTAAAAGCTTTCTGATTTGAAATACAACTATATCCATTCATCTCACCTGACAAAATTAGCCCTCCATATATCTTGATCTGCCGGCATATCAGAACCATGTTTTACTCCAAAAAATAAGGATTTAAATGGTATTGCCATTTCTAACGTCCAGAATGTTGCTGAAACAGGAATTGATATTGATACATAGTAGGTGAGAAGGCGGAATTTTATATACATAGTTTTCGCATAAAAACTTATCATGTAGAATATATGAATCACAAATTCCTTTAAATAAGCACTATGTCATGATAGTAAGCATTTGGTTCGAATTAGCCCATTAATTTCATCAGCAGAACTACCGTTAATCAAAGCTCCTTTCCCAAATATTATAGTAACTACTTTCCAATTTGAGACCATACATCTTCAGATTGTAATAAAATCTTGTGTTCTTACATTGTTTAGAAGCATTATTCACTGAGCCATCTACATAGATAGATCTTTTTACTTCACTTTCCCATATTACTTGTTGTTCACCATCATCTATATAAGGCTAAAATAAAATCGTAAATATTATACTTTTTAATTTTCTAATTCTGTTTTAAATACGAAAAACAACTTCCAGAAATTTCCATTTAGTAGAATCTTTGGAAATTCATTATTTAACTTCAATAACATATCATCGAATACCTTGAAATAAGAATATAGATGAAAATATTCTATGGAATAAAAATGTTTGAAAAAACAAATTTTTGCAAATATTTGCCAACAGTAGCTGAATTGTATGACCAAATATAAAAACAATGATTTAAGTTATCTAAACGAGTGATGAGATAACTTCTTTTTAATCATATTTCGTACATTAATTGTAGTCAGACTTGTTGCAGATGGTTTATTGATGGCGTGTATCTGTCGATATAGGTTTGATCAACAAAAATTTCAAATGATCTGGAAAGAAATCATAACACTCGACCTCGACGATTTCACTTCAACTTACTTTAGTCATCATGATATCAGATACTGTTCCTAGAGAATTGATCACTATTTCTTTATATCTGAAATATTTGAATATAATTAAAATAAAATACACCACAATCCTTGCTTCCACATTAGTGAGAGGACCAATAACAGAAAAAATGCCAAAGTGACTTTAATGATAGTTAATGGAAATATTACAAAAGTTTAAAAAGAAAGCTTACTTGTGATTGTTCTGTTTTGTGTCGATCAAAATCTGAAATCAAAGATAATATTTAAAAGTTGCAAAATGTAGCACGTCTTAGAGTAAGATACATCTTGAGCACGAATTCTGTTTAACCGTATAGTTTGTAAGTATTATTGATAATTGCATAAAAATCCACCCTAGGAACAAAGTTTCAAAATAGTTGTTATAGGGACATGTTCATCATTTTTGGGGGTTAATTTGAGTCTTGAATATGTGTAAATAGTTTTCACAAGTACTAGAAATGTAAAAGAATCGCACAATTCCTTCAAAAATATCTGAAACTAGGAATTATACCTTCTATATCTATACATATTGTTTTCTATATATGGCAGAGTCTCAACACATTGATTTGAAGGCTAAATTCTCGACGGTGAGCTGTGAACAGTATTACTGATTGTCTTAGCTAAAAATATTCCCATTTCTGAAACTAAATTACCGTTGATCAAACGTGGCGAACCTGCCCCATCAAATTATTAATGTCGGACATATACGCGAACACACTGTACTTGAGCTTGATTAAATTAACCACTATTACGGGATGTATCTTACCTGTACACTATTGTCACCATAAACTGAAATTTAAACGATATACAAAATATAATAGGGCCTAATCAGACAGAACCGAATATACAACGGTGTCCGTGAATCCAAATAACAATTAGTATGGTACAGAACTGACTTACACTGCTGTCTAATACAATATTTGTACCTTTGTCGCAGCTAAAGATCTATTGTGCTCAAATTTGCTTTCAAGTTATGCAATATGAGAATGAGAGTCCTAATGTGACAGTAAGAGCTAGGATAAGATTCTTCATTATACTTTTGTTTAATAGCCAGAGCGTGGTGGTAATGATAGACAGGTACGTTATATTTTAATGTAATGTTGTAAACTACATACGTACCAGCCCCATCGTGTTTAGTAATGTTGGCCCAGACTTCATCTTCTTCTAAATAAAATGCTAGATATAGATTAACATCATCATATCTTAACTTCATCTTGGTTTCATATTTTGGCTTAAGGGCATCGAATCCTTTAATATCTGAAAGATTATTTACATGTCTGTGTTTTTACCATATTTATGATAATTCCTAATTAAATTTAGAGTACGGAGCCCCTATGGCGCAATTTTCCATACTTTTATAAACTATTTCGTTTTAACGACATAATTAATTCGTTTAAACAAAATAAGTTATTCGATTAAAAAATGTATTTCGTTTAAACGAAATAAGTAATTCGTTCAAACTATCACGTGACATTAGTTACCACTAATTGACCACCAATTATTACATAGTTTTAAGATGAAACATTCGAACAGGTACTTGTTTTGTAATTACGAAATATTGAGAATTACTTTTAAAGACTAAAGAATCAAAACAGCTTAACTTAATGTCCTTTATAAAAGATATTTAGAGGCATACCAACAAACGATCTGCTCCAAGGAACATCTTTCCAAGCCTGTTCATCAAGTCGACCATCTATTTGAACAGTTTGACTGTTTAGATGATAAACAACGTAAGTTGATGGTACTGGTATGTAACATGATGTAGCTTGACATACATTCGATTCACAATTAGCCAAATATCTGAAGAATAAGTAAATAAATAATATGTGAAACATTTTCTTAAAAAATACACATTTATTTATCGATCTAATATCAATTTTTGTTTGTCATGGCATGTCTAATAGTTCAGAAGACAAATCCTGTCACAAACAAAATCAAAACAGATATGCATTTCGCTAGTAGTTTACTGTAGGCCTTAGTCGTTGTTACCTCAGAGCATGGTAGTAAATCTTTCAACAGAACAAGGGAGACCTGTTTTGAAGTAATTGATTTGCACGGCCGTCTTTAAAACAAATATCGCGTCTGTTACTCTAAGAAGCTGTTTGTAAATAATCCAAGTCAATTGGTCATTAAACTAATCCATTGGACTTACCGGTCAGTCTGTGGATCATTAGTAGTTGATTCTCCACAAGATTCCAAATTGGCAAATGTGAAATTCTGTTTTGGCAGAGGTTCGTGGTGATCGATGGTAGTTTGTGATACTCCCAATGAAGTGACCTGGGGACGAACCAAGTATCCTATTACAAACCCAACGGCTAAAGCAATAGCTGAAATGATTCCACAGATGATGTACACAGAAGATGATTTCTCCACAGCCATGATGAACTGAATGACTAGCCGATTCGAATAGGTAACAGTTAAAGATTAAGTATTAGGTGTTTTTCATTCACGATACTTTAAAATGACCTTTACCATCAAATCTGTTATTTAGAATATGTATGTATTGTTGATATTTTGTGACGGGAAATGTTAACAAACAATCAGTTGTAATTTTGTATGGACACGTTCTGATTGAGACTAGTGTCTAGTTAATACTGAACAGTACAACCCACTCGCGTTTAACCTGAGATTATCATTAAGATGAAAGAAAGTGGTAATCTTAACATCATTTGTTTCTACACAATAGTTTTATTCTTAAGATACAATACACTTAAACATCATGTTGGTGTAGCATATTATGGGTCGACCATGCTCGCATGGTATCTGGAGCTAAGTCATAGCCTATTTGCCATTTGATGACTAGTGTCAAACCCAAACATGTAGTTTGCTGAACTAAACACTTTTGTAACCATAAGACCAATACACCACTCTTTGACTTTGATAATATTCTATATGAGGATATGGCGTATGATAATATTCTATACGAGGATATGGCGTATGATAATATTCTATACGAGGATATGGCGTATGATAATATTCTATACGAGGATATGGCGTATGATAATATTCTATACGAGGATATGGCGTATGATAATATTCTATACGAGGATATGGCGTATGATAATATTCTATACGAGGATATGGCGTATGATAATATTCTATACGAGGATATGGCGTATTTTTTAAGATGATGAAAATAGTTTCAATCGCGTAGTGAAGCTAGATTTGCCATTTGTCACAATGTAGCCATGACTGTCCTTATCCGAAACTTTACAATAACCATTGTAATGCCATCATCAAATACAATTACAATGGGTGTTTGTTAAATTGAAATCTATACATTACGGTATGAAATGACTGAATTTCGCGAACGTTTATGGAATTCTAGTAATTCATCTCATACCATCTTGTATGTTCTTCAACATACAAATAAACACAATGATAAACAATTGATGGATTTATTGCATATTTTTACATTGTTGTTATCATTATTTGTCCATACATTAAATTCTCCTAATATTACATTCAAATTAAACCGTAAAAACCGTTCTGTTTTCTTGGAATTCTTTTTAGTTTTTCATTCATTATTTACATGTCTGTTTTATTTTCAATAATCAATACTAGAAAACTTCCCCTTTACATATATACGCCATATCCTTTGTGCCTTTCAGAACTATTCATTTAGAATGGTGACTTGTTCGTTACATATTAATGGTTTTTCAGTTCATCATTTAGTGTATTGATTGTGATGTCAAGTCAGTTATAATATTGTTCGTTTGGGTTAATGTTAACAAATCTTCTCTAACAAATAAACAAATTCCAAACGGATGTCCTTCTTGTTTGTTCCGTCCGTGAGGCGGAGTTTTCAACCATCACTCCCATCAACCTTCTCTTCAAGTTTAGATCGAAGAAATACGTTGTTGACAGTTCGATTGACCAAACAAGGGTAAATCTGGTTGAAATCTGAAGCTTATCACTCAGCTAGTATTCAGGACCGTTCTGTACAGTGAGCTATCGACTGTTGTTAGCAAGTGTTTCAGTAAGGATTTTTTAAACGGAATTACGAACTGAAAAAGGTGAGTCGGTGAATTATTACTTGTGAATTGCAAATTTATATCGATTGTAAGGCATGGAGACAATAATGTTCGTCAGTTACAAATGTATGTTTGGATTTTCAGAATGTATCAAGAATATTCTTTACGATCAAATTACTGAGATATTGTTCCTTTTCAGCGCCATATTGAAACTTTATAGCAATATAATTTAAGTTTGAAAGATGATTCGATCCATTCGACATAGATTACACATTTTCTTGTCTTACTTTTGAAACTGTAGGCCAGAAACAGATAATTCTATTCTGTATTAAAATATGATCGCTCTTAAGTATATGAGTTCGTCATCGTCGCAGTCCCTGATATAACCGATAACGTTTTCAAAATTAGTCCACAAGCAACAAGTGGTACTTATTTTCAAGTTTATTTCACTCCTAAATCAAATAATTTATTTACTACGCAAAGAGGCTTACCTTCATGTTACGATAAATAAGAGCCGTTCGAGTATGTTACAATTAAATTTGAGCTGCAATCATTGACAATACTGTGGTATTTGTTCTTACTGACTAGAACATTTGTCTTTAACATAGTGTAAATCATTTTAAAATATAGAAAACAATCGTGGGAAGTGAAAAATACGATTGATAGCAATGTTTGGCAGAGGGTTTTTTTTATTGATAATATAATTGAGATGGAGTTTGATAGCTGACTACAGAATCTATAGTTACAACCCTGTCTCGGGTTATATCAACATTACCAAATTAAACATACACAGGTCTTTCTCTTACTGTTCAATACATTTCACACTGTCCAAATTATCCACTAACTTGTTACACATCACTATAAAAACTATTGTTTTCTTGTTTAAATACAACTTAATACGCCCATTTCCACATTCCCAAAATTACTCTTGACGAATCTTTATAACATGAATTCCGATCAGATCGAATAATAAATATCTCGAATGGGTCAAACGTCTTCGATATGATCGTATCGTTTGTTACTTCTTACTAGTGACAGATTCCAAATCAAAATGCAGTCAGAAATTGTATGATATTGCGCAGATGGACAAAATTTCTTTCGGAAATAATATGATTTGATATTTGATAAAGTCTAGCTTATTATTGAATCGGATAAAAGTTTTATTTTTACTCGATCACTGGATTGGAAGAAGTGACAGGGGAAGTAGAAACTGTAAATAGAGAAATTCGGAGGAGAGACAAAGATTCATGGCAAAGAAGAATGAGGACAGAAAGTAATGAAAGAAGGAGATAGAGTACAAGATTTAAAGTGGCAGAGGGGAAGGGAAGTTGCGAGGAAGAACAACTACAACAGAGTGAAGAAATAGGGGTAAGAAGAGAGCAAGGAGATTTAGATAATCATGGAGAAACCTATAAGAATTTTACGGAATTTCAGTATAAAGTTACCGAATATATTAACATTTGTCTATTTGTCTTTGGGTATTCTGTTCTATTGAACGATACTCATTGTACCTCCGGGAAATGCTTCGAAATTCAGTGCTGCGATATCTTATAACGTATCACCGTACTCCAACTTTCACTCGGATTGATAATGTCATAAACTTACGGCTGAAGTAGTCTCAGTGGTCAAATAAAATTGCAGAGAATTGCTTCCCTTGAAGTAAAACACATATAAAACATTACTATTTAAGGTGACGCATTGTATTGAAATTTAGTATAAATTATCCGGACTGTAGACTCCAGATCGATCTCACCAATGGCGTCTAACATAACATAATAAAAGTAATGAATTAAATCGAGTGTTGTAATAATTCTCATAAAAAATATACAATTAAATTTGATTTTCAGATGGTCGTGATATATTTGATTTTTGCTAATAATATAAATTTATCGTAAAAATGGGGTTATTTTGACTCACTAATCGCAATGCGATACCGCTTAAAGTGGAAGAAAAAATTGAAAATTGATGTACCATATAACTCGACTACAAAACACACACTTGTCCTCAAAATAACTCCACGAATTTCATCCTTGATCTTTCAGAAACGAGTCCAAAATCAACCTGTTATATTTACAAATCTTCATGAAAAATGTTCATTTAATCTTTTGATCTGCTCAGAAAACAACTCACAAAAGACTCTCAGCTTGAACCATGAACAATTGTTTTAATCTTCTCGGTATTCAATCTATTTGATCTCCAAACAAACACTTACTTTGACTAATAAGACTTGGAATTCTTGCAAAGCTATTGACCGCCATTTCTACGCATTGCTGTAAACTGATGATTGTGAGATGAACAGAGTAGATATAATTGTGTCATTGGAATATTTTGAAGTAAATTATTAACAGGTATGTTGGGTGAATGAGAATGATCGTTTTTAAAGATATATTTAACCATTTGGAATATGTCATCAAACATGTTTTTGATATTTTCTTCGAGCTGTAATGTAATGAAATATGACAAGCTGAAAATTGTCTTAGGTGCCAAACTCAAGAATCAAACAAGCTGGAATAAAATAAAGATCCGAGACACCATAAAGAATCGAGTTCAACACTACGAATCTTAGACAGCATCGTGAATAGCTTCCCTCATTAAAAACGGGGAAATGAAATATGATTCGTTTAAAGTTGGATCTTCAGCATTTGGAAATAAAGGGAACAATAAATATAAAGGAACCAGATAATGCCCCAGGTTATCATCAGTACATGTATCAGTACAATTAAGACATTGTATATCTGGTAATTCGATATAATGTGCACTTTAATAATCAGTATTCGGGACAGTGGGAAAAGAACTTGCGACGTCTGTTCTAGAATTTGTTGTGTTGACCAATACGAAGTCAACATTACACAGACAAATAACCCACATAAAATATGTTCAACAACGTAATCTGAACATTGATTAATCTCCCTTCTTAATCCACGTAATCCTTAAAGGATTTTTTTTATTTACTGGTAAAATATAAACAAGTGAAAACATGTCAATTGTCAAGCAAGTTAATCCATAGAAATTCAACGATTTCCAAAATTCTAGTTTAAAAACACATAAGCTCAATATCAATATGGACGTTTTATAATGAGAACAAATTCTTCCTATATCTGACTTCAACCAAAGTAATCACTTGTCTCACATACTGTTTTTGGTTATAACAAGATAAGTTTACTACTTCTTTGAAAGTTTACTACTTCTTTGAAATGAGGCCAAAGGGTTTTTATCTGAAAGTATGTCTGAAAAATTTTGAATGAACTTTTATATTCCGTCATTTGGATCTTTGTCTATTTTGATCCTGTTCTGTGTTATATTTTATATCTTACGAGATTTCGTTCAGTTGCGTTTTGCTTTACATGTCTTACTTTAATCTTCTTCTTCCAATCCAGTACATGACCTTCTATGAGGTATTGTCGTACTAAGGTGAAAATTGTACAAGGTCGTAACCAATTTATCTGTATTTTATAAAGATCCATTGTCATGTGTCTCAATGTCACTCACATGCAAAATAGTCAATGCTCATATATTTCTTCCGAACTTCAAAAGCTCTCAAGTATACAGATGATATCATGCTCAATATATATCATTTGCTTATTTCAGCCTATATTAGTCTAATCTACTTCACGTTAATCTCTTTGATTTTATTTTAAATTGTTCTTGCTGCTCTCTTTGAAGGTTGATCGACCTCCTTTGTCTATTACAAGATTGATAGATCTCACAGATGTTAATTAGACAATTGTATCTGCTGTAAGTCTGTGTGATCCCATAATATTTATTGTCTGTTCCATCATGTCAATTTGTTCAGTTGTCCTTACAGATGTCCCAGTCTTTACAATCTCACAAATCTCAACGATTATCATGTAAATAGATGTACATTATTGCTTGTACCTATAAATAATTATTTTATTTGTTAATTTCAGATATAGTATTTTGACTATGAAGTAAATCAAAATTAACTAAACAACTCAGATGGTAAGTATCGAAAGCTTTTTTTTCCAAAAGGTTAAAGTGAATGTATGAGGTACTTATTTATATCGCTTCTTCGTCATTAAATTCAACATTATGAATACAGAAGTGTGAGTTCGTCATTCCAGCTTCATCCTCAATCCATAAAAATTTATGTAGCACAGATAGCTTACAAAGGTTTTTTTCACAGAGGTTACATTCTTAATGTTTGGAAGGAATATCTGTTTTTGTTTGACCTTTGAACACCAAGAAGAGTATGGTTGTTGCAGCACACGTGATGGTGTGTTGATGATATTGCTGGAAAGAAGCGAACTATCATTTCATTAACAAACATACATCTATACAAACAGTATAAATGGATGATAATAGTAGAAATCACGTTGGAGGTATATTCTATGTTTATTGGAAGCTGTGTGTGGTGTTTTTATATTGGTTACACGATCGATTTTAATTTCAGGAAAGCTTCTAATTCAGAATAATTTTCTTACAACTGGTTTGTTATAAATATAACGAAAAAAAGGTAACATATTTATATTAGAGTGCATGAAAAGTTCAGGATTACAGATGGTTGGACCATTTATATTGATGATAAAAATCAAATGTTCTTTATCATTTTTTTAAACCTAAAAGATTCACCAAAACTAAAGACATTATATAGGACTGCCTATAATTATAATAATTTTCATTGTTTCATATTGTTTATTTGTTGTTTTGATGGGGTTATAGTTTGATGGAAATGTAATGCTCATGAAATGCAATCATAATGGTATAGGTATTTATTTCGTCCACACTCAAATTGCTTTTTGGTTTAGTAGCCTCTCAACTATTTCCAATATGGTTATGGATCAATTTAGTTTATTGAAAGAGAATTATTTTGATCACCTTCCATAAGCATCAGTGCTGCTAAAATCAATGATATATCTACGGATCCTAGAACTGTATCACTATCACCGATATCAAGACAAGAGCAGGGTAACTTGAGGCTGATGCCTCAATGACAGCTTTTTTGGTTAAAATCAGTTTAAAATACCAATCTCTGTAATATTCCCTGTCAAGCAATATAATGTCAAAAGTAAATACTTTATTGCTTCTATTTCATGGACTAATGCCCAATGAAGACGAAATTTTCAGCAAAAAACAATTTGCTGAAATGGTGGCTATATTGAGCATGTGATTATATTTATGACTATTGGTATTATATATTTTTACTATAGTTTTTTAAAAAGCTGTTCAGCCTATACAGCTAGAATTTGGTGAGCAGATATATCTGCTATATCCTAAATGTATTAGGTCAAAATAGCTTTGATACTTTATGAAAAATCCCGAATTGTTTTCTGAGCAACCCTTTAGCATCCCTTTAGCTTTGGTGCTTGATTTCCTCCGTACATATTTACCTAGGCATGTTTATTAATTTAATTGTTATGCTATTAGGTGTTTTGTAGATTGATATCCTAGGTATGGGTAACGTGAGTATACAATATTTGCTTTCATCGTGGTATTTGATAAAACACTTAAATATCGATTGTTTAAATGTGACGACAGCTTTTAATATCATTAGATTGTATTAAGATATTTGGCTAGTTCAGTGAGATGTGGTGATTGATACAAAACTCAATATAAACATATTTGTCATGTCAGTTAACTCATTCTTCTAATCTTTTTCAGACATGAATCTTCTAGTGGTTGTTGTGTTGTTCTTCTCTGTTTCCATTATAACTGGTCGAGAGCAAGGATTTGTATACTGTCCAGCTTACCCGTGCCTCTGTGAACCTCGGAATGGAGAACTTGTTATAAATTGTAAATATCTATATCTGACTGAACTACCCAAGTTCTTATCATTTGATGGACGTGTACGTGAATTGTCTTTGCGGAAAAACAGTATCAGATCTTTGCCTTACGGAGCGTTTCAGGGTCTGAACGTGGAAGTGATAGACCTTACTGAAAATATTGTTACTAAAGTCCACGAAAAAGCTTTTCTTGGATTAGAAGAAACTTTAGAAGAGCTTCATATTCAAGTGTATGCTATGCAGGACTTGCCTATCAAAGCTCTGGAAAACTTGAAGAAATTGAGAGTGTTAAGAATAATCGGATGTCGAGTTCCGAAATTGAAGAGTGATACATTTTCTGGATTAACCCACATAGTAGAGTTACATCTTATATCTTGTCGTATTGGTCATATCGAACCAGGAGGGATCGCTTTATTACGTAATCTTCAGATACTTAACATGGCAGGCAACCAACTTCGATACCAACATCTAAGAGAAGTAGCTAAACTCGTTGAATTAAGAAAACTTATTTTATCTCAAAATCAAATTCAGGTCCTGGGAAGTAACGTATTCGACAAACTTCTTCATTTGCGTCATATTGATATACAAGGAAATCAAATACAGAGTATCGACAAAAACGCTTTTCAAAATCTCGAATTTTCTTTAGAATTTCTTGATCTATCCAAAAATACACTTCAGGATAATGCTTTAATCTCAATCCGACTATTAAAAAATTTACGTGAATTGATTTTAAGTGACAATAAAATAACTAACTTGCCTGATAACGGATTTGAAAAGCTCGAATTAATCTCTAAACTAGATCTTGAAAGAAACAAAATTAACAAACTTCGCAAAAAATCACTCAAAGGCACAGAAAAATTCTTGCAAGTTTTAAAGCTAAGTGGTAATCCTTTAAAATCGATAGAAAATGGTACGTTCGCTAAACATGAATCAATAAAACAATTGTATTTAGATGACACCAACTTAGGTGAAAATATACAAAAAGCCAGTCTACATGGTTTAGAAAAGTCGTTAAATATATTAAGCATTAAAAACAGCAATCTTGCTTCTCCGGATCTCCGCGCTTTTCAAAATCTTGAAAATATAAAAAGTTTGACCCTTGCCGATAATAATATTAAACAGATACCAAAGGATGCTTTTCAGAATGCACGTAGAATAAGACAAATAGATTTATCATTGAACAAAATCAGTCTAATTGAAAACGAAGCTTTCCGAGGTTTAGAGATTACATTCCAGTCTATAGACATATCGTCAAACCAAATTAGCACCATGTCTAAATGTATATTTGAAAGGTTTCCTCATTTGAACGGCATGCGTCTAGGAAACAACCCACTTCAGTGTGACTGTAGATTGGTCTGGTTATATAATTGGCTTAAGCTTCATCATCCCGATTTCTCCAGATCTATGTTAGATTGGGTCTGTGCTGGTCCAGCACATATCAAACAAAAACCTTTCCGTTTACTGCAACTTAATGATTTTGGCTGTACTAATCGAACAGAAAACGAGACGTGCGAATGGACGATAGATCCTATTGCCAATCCTTTAAATCCTCGAGTTTTGGAAGTTGTTCCCTCCCCTCTTCTGCCGGTCGATATGATGGGTACCAAGGTCAATGTAAATCTACATGCTACACCTAGAAATGTTATCATTGTCACATGGAACTGTTCCAGTAATCATGAAATTGGAGGCTATAGAGTATCATTAAGGAAGGTCAACAGCAGTCTGGAAGAACGAGATGTAACCATAACCTCTGAGATTAATCGACAGTTATTTGCTAATATTGATTCTGATAGTCAATACGAAGTTTGTGTTTTAGTCCTCTCTACAAACGTTGTTCCTATGGGAAGAGACTGCCAAAACATCATTACTAAAATTAAAAATTCCACAGCGCTCGACCATTCTAAACCATTTCAAAATTCCAACTTCATCACCTTGTTGTGGGCTTATACTTTAGGAAGTTTGGCTGCGACTGGAGTATTTGTTATGGTTGCTATTTGTGTTCTGAAAAAAAGAAAACAGCTACAAAAAGCGAAACCGTTCAAGCCAGGATATCCGGCATGGGCTGGGATGCTCTATGGTCGACCGGAGCATGGGAGCCAAGGACCTCCTTCATGTTATTTTTCTTCTAATTCAACGGGGTTTGACGAATTTGAAACGAATCAAGATTGCTTCAATAACCATGGACGATGTAGCACCGTGAGCACGTTTCGACGTCATTTACCCGCCAATTACATAGTGACTTCAGCAGACTTAAATGATGATTTTTATTTTCACTTTTGACACTGTGTAGATGTAAATAGTGTTCATAATTAGGAATGTGTGATAGAATGTATTACAATGATCAGCATAGGGTTGAATCTGATCTCTTATTTTGAGTGTTCCATATTCTGGTTTCACATATCGGGTAAGTCATTGGATTCTCAGAAGCCATAACAGTGTCACTGCACAAGGTAGTTTTTCATTTTCTAATATTTCAGAGCCTTAATATGCTTTGACGATGTATATTTTTACTTTCGCTTTATCGAAAGGTGAAAATTTTATTTTGGAATGTTCTTATGGAATGCTTTATTTTTGGAATCGAACAATCTGTTCCAGGCTTGATTTGATGTTGTACATGATAAGAAAGTTTAACTTTAAAAATGGCTTCGATAAGATTAAGATGTCTTTAACGGCCTAACACTTTCAATAACTTAGTCATATCAAGGTCATTTTAAATTTTGACTTGTGCACTTTATATATTTTTGCATTTTGAAACTTAGATGTGAAATTTTAATTCATATAGATATTATGGGGTTCGTTGTACATTGTATCCTCTAGTTTAAACCTACTCTTTAGATTTTCCTTTTAGTTTCCCTTCATGTAATTTCATGAACAACTCTATTCGAATTAATGACTTGATTAACAGGGATTCTCAACGTATTGGTAAAATGTAAGTATATCAGCATATATTGAGAATTTTTGTCTAAAAGTCGTATTTTGCAATGGATTTGGTCATTTGGGATATTGTTTCTGCAATAAACATGTTGTTCTGCACTGACCACAACGCTTGTATGGAGCCACACTTACTATGCTACACTGTTGGCTTAACAGGGTTCAATTAATAAATTTCGTGTATTAACTAATACTAATATAAAAGGTTCGGGCACGTGGACAAACGGTGTCTTTAAAGCCAATTCACGGTATCAGATATGAATTTGGAATATGAATTTGGATAGTCAGTTTTGACGTTTTTCTTCGGTCAAAATGTAAGAACAACAAGTTCCTGCTTTATTTTGGGTTAATACTTTAATGTCGTTATGTAAGTTGGTCCAGTTTAATATTGTAAGTACTTGTAAAATTAATCATGGTATTGAAAAGTTGAGGGAAGGGGTTTATATTAAAGGAAAGGTAATGTATGAAATATTATAGAACTCTGAAACGAATGTCAGTTCTGCGGCCAACAACAAACCTCAGGACTGTACATCTGTTCCGCGCTGGTAAGTGATTTCAACTGTGTATAAGTACATTTAACAGACTAAGGAGCGTCTGAAAAGCTCTTGAAACGTAGAATTCCATCGAGACAATAATCATTACAGATCAACCCTGTGATTTCTGGCTCGGGTGACCAAAATGAAAATAAACTACTATTATAGCTGTTAAACCATAATATGTATATAGTGTACACAATTAATGTATTTCAATTATTTGTGCTTTATTTATTTTGTTCACTATTTCCTATTTCCTGTTCGGTGTGGTGATATGTTTATTATAACTCTTTTGAAAATTGAACATTTTGTAATTAGAAATATTTTTTGTACTACAATTATAATTCTTAAAAATCATGGTGTGTTGCTTTCCATAGAAGGAGTATCGGTATATTTCTATATTTCGAATTTGACATTTTATTTCCGGTTTTAAACATTTGGTAGTCTCTTTAACTATGTGGATGCATGACAACTCTAATGTCAAAGATTTAAGAATTTCTTAATCACACCAGTTAAACCTTTAATTCAACATATACAAATAACATATCAAAATTGTAACAGATTTGGAATATTAGAGAAATGGGCTAAAAACTGTTCTGTTACCTTGTGCTATTTTTTGAAACGTGAAACGAAGGTAACGTGAATCTAAGATATTATCTAAGATAATATTGAAATTATCAAAATATGAAGGACACATGTAATGATAACATGTGTAAGATAGTAAAAAAGAGGTTACATTTACGAAGGTCATACTATATTTATCACGCCTCTGTTAACATTTTCTCTGTATGTCTGTTCATATGAATCAAATCCCATTTCTTCATCCATGGACCAGTTATTGTTGTATCAAATTCTTTATCAATGTCTTCCTTCAAGTAAGAATATGATTTAAGAGTGCAGTAAAAAAAAGGCAGGATAGATGTTGGTTATATTCGGAATGGGAATCTCAAAGACAGTCGCAAAGCTAACCTTGACTCAATCGTGAAGGAAAGAGTCTATAGTCTTTTAGGACATAAAATAAAATACCCCAAATTGCGCAACTCGTTATACAAATAACGAAGCATTAATGTTTTTATGAGGATAGCAACTTTTGCTAAATCTCTTAAGAGTTTCGCGGATTATCAATGCCAATAATCAACTGATTTGACTCGATTTGTGACTTTGACTTATGAACATTAGTAGAGAATTCTCCTCTGAAACATAAAATCAAGATTTAATTATCTAAAACGCTTACGTCCCAGTTCGCATCACCAGTTATCTCAGGCATGTCAACCTCTACCATTTTCTTTGCCAAACCTTTATAATCCACATTATTCCACGAGTCCCAGTCAACTTTTAAATTTGGATATTTTGGTGATCGTAATAGCAAGCTCTCTTTAATACCATAAAATCCAGCAGGGTAATTTGGATTTTGCCATCGTAAATCAACACTCCATCTGATATCATTAGATAAATTTGATAAACTGAAAACAAAATACAAAATGTGGAACTTACATTCCATTGGAACTAGAGACTAATACGGTCATCCCAGTAACATTTAAAATGTGGATTTGGACAATATTGTTTGTACTTTCATTTTTGATTTTTTTGATTTTTGGGAACTCCAATAATGTTTTTTACCTTCTATGTGGTATGACGTTATTAATAAGGAGCATACCACCATACGGCACAGGGCATGTTCTTACATCTCTTTTAACATCTACATCTGTATCATAAAACAAAGAAATATATTTATACACCAAATAATCAACAAACGCAGTATTTGAATTGAAAATGGTCACCGATTTATTAATAAGGACACCAATATGATACATAAGTAAATGTTCAAATACCATAATTACTATATTGTAAAACTGAATGATAATGACAATAATGATAAAATTAATTTTCCGCGGTGACAATAAAACAAGAATGTAATATTTAACAAATACAATTTTATATATAATTATCTTAATTTAATGTATCTATCAAATTCATTAATTAAAAGACCTAGACGATAAATTGTGTAAACATGAAAATGGAACTATAGGAAACATCAAATTTGTAAAGAACCAACTGAACAATAATTTTGCAAACAAATTATTGACAAATAATAATTTGAGTTTTCTGCCTTAAGTGGGGATTTGCAAGATTTCGCCATCTGACCCGTAAATAACAAACTATTGGTGCCATAGGGTGGGATGGTGGGTTTTCTATTAAATAAATTTTCTATTAACTTCCAGAATGCTCACTATCGACGATAACGTCCAAACTAGGCACACTAGGCACAACCTTAATATTGTATTTGACATGATGATAGGCTGACACAACATGTGATTAACCTTAGACTAATGAATATGCATGAATAGTATAACTGTTTGTTGATATTTACCGTATAAATCCAGTTATGTATGAATCCATAACTTTTATTATAGATATTTTATTAGAAAGATAAGTATACATAGGTATTTTATGATATTTTAATACATCAATCTTATGCCGCTTGTATATTCCTAATGCAAATATACAGATTGGAAATATAATATATAGACAAAACATACCGAGTTTGTTCTCCATCTCATCTTCAAATAACATAACATACCATGTACCACCATAACAACATTGATGATCAGCTACTTTACCAGTTTTATGACCTTTTTCTACTACCTGTTACCACAGTTATTGCATAATATATTAAATACATAGAGAAGAAGAAAATGAATAAAGCAACTTTTTGTATGGAAAGTCAAGCAACCTGAAGGAAAATATACCATATATAATTTTCAAAGAAGTTTAGTCAGATATACATATAGTAGAATCTATGTTGATCCTTGTGAACATATAAATTATACATAAATTGTCAAAGAATTGAATATTGTCTTTGGTATAGATAAAAAAAAAAAACACCAACTTTTACCTGCATACAACCGTTCTCAGGTGTAGCATCTAAAAATGGTATCCATGCTGTAGCTTGCATAACTTTATATGAGGAATTATCTAGGTATCCAACATCTGTAAAAGTCCAGTTGAAGTTTCAAAGTTTACTTTAATAAACATTGCAGAACACTGTTTCCAGATGCATTCAATGTCGAATTATTTTGTTCTACACCAAAGACTAAAACGCATCACAGACATTGGGCAGTTGAAAATAGTATGTTATATATTAACCGTAAAAGCTTCTTTACCTTGATGCCAAGGAACAGTAGTGGCTTCATTTTGAGGAGTTTTAGTTCTCAGATTCCAAACAGGATGAGCAGCTATTTCTGGTCCTATCAACTGCTCTACGGCATTCAATAACGGTTCATATGCCCAAATGTTTTTAAAAGGCTGAAAAATATGCGCTTTGTTTTAATTTTGCTAACACATAGACATATTCAAAATGAGATTTTTAGATTTACGGAAAACGTGACTCCCTACATTGAAATTCAGATTTTTGGTACCTTACCTTGCAGACATAAATAAATATATTATGGATCAAATTGCTCAATATAGTCATTTTGGTGACAGTGACAGTGACAAAGTACCTTCTCATCGATATCACACAAATGTCGATAGACTATTCAATATGCAGCTATTCAAGTATGTCACTAAAAATATTTCAATATTTTTCTATCACTCTACAATTGATGTATTGAACACTACTTTAACAGTGAAATTTTTTTGTTTAAGTAAGTTTATTTGATTTTGATTCATTGCAATCAGCATTTACATGTACAATACAATATATATTGCTATAGCATAAGTTATATAACAATGAAAGGTGCGCAGAATTAACAAACAGATTTGTAGAATATCTAGAATTGTGCAGCATATCATAATGGGAGAAACAGATTCAACACTAAATTATATAGATACATATTATATACAAATTATATACAAGAATAGATGACTATAACTTCTTAAGATATTGTTTTCGTTTTTGCATGAATAGTATATATATCTTGACAGATTTATGATAATAGTTTCAGAATTTGTTTTTATACGCCCACATGAATATGTGGTCGTATATTGTCGTCGACCCTGTCCGTCGGCCCATCCGTCGACATTTCTTGTGAGCACTATAGAGACTACAGTTTTCATCTGATTTTGATAAAACTTGGTGTGATGCTTTAAATTGATTGATAAATAACTGGCATATATATCATATATAATTGAATTCAATCTAATAAAATTTCTTCAATATGAGAAAATTCCTACTTTAGTCAATAAAGACTGTTTTATCATTTCTGACAGCTGCCAGTGGGCGTATGTTACCTTGCCTCGCATGCTATCTTTCATAATACTTTGGAATTTATAAATTGATGGCCAACTCCAACAATATCTTGGGAAGTACTTTATTCTTATAACTCTATAAGCTGGACAGAATGAAATTCATTTTCTTTCATATTGGTGTTAACAACAGCCGCAGATTCTATCATCTCTATTGATTATTAATTTTCTTTTACCTTAAAACTAGTTGAAGATTTGTGAAGAAGTATATTAGCACCAGGAAATTCTTCTTCTATTTTAGTCAGTCTTTGAAATAATCCTACGTCAGTGTACAGATCTACAAAAATTAGGTACCATTCATGCATTATGTTAAAATGGTTGAAAATGTAACGTTAGGATATCATCAAATATACATTCATTCATTCAATATATACTTCCATCATGCTTAGAAATACTACTTGGTATGACATCTATTCAACAGTAGTCTCAAGTTTGTCGAAGAAAAAGATAAACAAGAGAATTTCTATATTCCCGCTAAAGTGTTTCACTACTCACTTTTTATCTTCCCAGCTTTATATAGTTTCTGAGCCAAATCATCTACTAATACTTCAATACCTTTCTTTGTTTCTTCTAGGAGTTCCTTTGGGAAATAATCTTCAACAACCACATATCCCTAAAATATATAATGGGTACAGTAAAGGCCGTCTTTAATTCCATCTGCCGTAAAAATGAGTTCAACGTCAGAACATATACTGTGCAGAAGAGCCATTTAGAGCAAGGCATATTATATTGTGTCTCTGTATTTTGCCCGAGCTAGTAAGCTATGAATAGTGCTAGGCATTGATAAAAAGTTTGGTTACCATAACACATGAGGTACCTACCTTTTCAAAAAACTGTTTAACAATATTCTCTGGAAGTTGACCATGTTTCTTCTCTGTTGGTTGTGGAATCATTTTGTTGAAGATCTCAGGGTAAGCCTCATCAGTATGTCCTGGGAGACTCTTTTTGTCTTCGGTAGCCATGGTTCTAACAGAGATTGTAGTGGTTTAGATGATGTGGACAGTGAAACTAATAATGTTATATTCAAATCAAATGCTCAATAATTTGATTAACTTCAAGGTAAAATATAATCTTATCTCAAATAATAAGATATTAAGCTATTTGAATGTGATGAGTAATATAATAGGGTAATATAATAGTGCATTCAATTCGAATGAATACGTAGTTTATTTTATGTAACAGCTACATGTATATTATGTCCTCATGAAATATACAGAGGATCTTAGAGTGCTTATGCCATATCAAATTTATGAAATGAGTTACCAAAATGCAATATTACCCGAGTCTTGACGAGTGAAAGATTCTATTTATCACACAACTATCAATAAATGCATATTTTCCTTAAATTCCTTGAACTGTTTCTATATAGGGCATTGACTTTGGCGTAAGCCTTTTTACACCTTTCTATATAATGTCATTGTGCGATGTTACAAAAAGATCTTTTTAAACAGGATCATGTGATTACTAAATTGAAACTTGGTGTCACAGTTATGTTATCCGGAGGAATTCTTGCTCTATACCTTCAATTTTCAACTTCAATGAGTGGTAAACTTCAATGGATGGCATGTTGTTTGTTTACACCGCGCATAGATAAAGGACCTAATTTGCATAGTTATATACTTGCCCGTCCGTTTACTCACTCGAGCTTATTCGTGCCTGGCCTAAGAGCGTTATGTTGATCATGCTTAATGTCACGTATTTAACGGATGATATAATGACATTAGGGGAAAGTGTCATGGTCAATGCAAACATGGCCCACGTTATGGATACCAATCGTAAATATCGGGTTATATCAGCAGTAGTTATATTGCTGAATGAATTTGAATTTTTAATTTGTATATTTGAACAATTTCAAGAGCATAAACATGGAACGTTTTGGAAGAATGGAATAACTATATTTCTTTTGTTAAAATTACGCAATAATATTTGGTTAGTGTGACATAATGTAGCCTAATATAAATAATCCATTTAGTATTTGTATCGATTATCGGCGGATCTATAGACCTACGCACGCACGCACAGTGTACAAAACCTGTTTCATTCAGCTATACAGTATAATCAATTAATAATTGCTTTCTATTTTTATAATTAGAACTCTATCAGGCGCGCGTCAGCTCCAGTGAGTGTGAGTAAACGAACAAGCCACTTGTGTGTCCTGAGTATTTATGTTTTAATGCGTGATAAATATAGATATATTAAATTATCACAAATTCCCAAAAAGGGGAAAACAATTAAAACTATATTATTGTATAACAGGACAATAATATAGTATAGATATATCATTATGATGACGTCCAAGTCTAAACAGCAAAAGGCATTAGAGCGCGGCATTGTAATATAGATTCGTTCAATATGTATTGCATATATATAGTGGTGTATTGAAACGAGTCTCAATGAAAGCACTGGCCTAGGTCACAGAGCAATAGATAAGTCTATTAATTATGTGAAAATTAGTTAGTCATTAGTATGATTTTAGTTGAAAAGACACACACACAAATATACACTGCATGTTATATAATATACTGTATATAGCCATGGCACCAGTCCTGAAATAAGTATTCCCTGAAATCTAACTTAGAAATCGATTAATTTATTGATAGAACATGATACATTTATATGAAGAAATCTATGCTCCTAGGATGAATGGACATTGTTCAATGGTTCAAGTCTACCGTGAAAGAGGAAATGGCTAAGATTTTGATTTCTTTTGTAAGCTACAACCAAACGTTTTGTGTATATATAGATAGTTGTTCGTATTACTTTTCAGAATTAAAGCCTGTCTGAAATCTTACAAAAATTAACAAAAACATTGCAGATTAGACTGTCCTCACTTTCAAATCATTTAAATTTGCAAGGGTAGATCTTGCCATAATCGCTCAACTACACATTCACGAGAATATCATCAACGGTCATACAGTCTGAATCTCTCTATGTTTTTTGAACTGCGGGTCAAACGGACCACGGATTTTTAAGTCAGACAAGATCTGCTGATAGAATTAACATAAATTTCGACAACAAAATCCCTGAAAATCTTCATATTATTATGTTTGAGACTTGGTATACATACGTATACATGATGAATGTTTCCCCAAACATATTCAACAAAGTGGCAAGCAATTGTGCTATTGACTAGTCGTACTGTTATACAACCTTTATTTGTTCTTTTAAAGTACTATTTCAAAATAATCTCCGGTATCAAACAAAATTAAATCGGATTATATACAAATAGAATTTGTACCATCTTTCTCAGGTGTTATCTATTTTGACACTCAGATTTCTAATTATGACGTCTTATCTGACCAATGGTAAAATTGGATACTACAAAGCGAGCAAAAGTAAGCAGATATGAAAGAACAGATGAGAATTATACAGGATTGCAATACACAGCTATTTGCTTTCTAACAACATTTTCTCTGTATGTCTGTTCATATGAATCAAATCCCATTTCTTCATCCATGGACCCGTTATTGTTGTATCAAATTCTTCATCCGGTAACTAAATAAAAATAACAAGGTACAATATAAAATAAAATTAGATTTGAATATTTATATTTTTATTTTGTGTCATACACAACGATATCTGAAGACCAATTACTTGACGCTCAGGGACGCAAATACATTTTCCCCCGATTTAAATGGTTTAAAAGTACATTCACTTACGTCATCACTGACAATATTTGCTATATGGCCTTTAACCATTTCCTTTGCTTTAATTTGGCGATCGACGTTGTTCCACGAGTCCCAATCAACTTTTAAATTTGGATATTTTGGTGATCGTAATAATAAGCTCTCTTTAAGATCATAAAAACCAACAGGATAATTTGGATTTTGCCATCTCAAATCCGCGCTCCATCTGATGTCATTTGAAAGATTACTTAGACTGAAAAGGCAAAACATAATTATTGAAGAGGTATGCATCTACAAAGATTTATTCTTGATATCACTTTTTAGAACACGAATATGGCCATTGACACTTTGGCCGACAAAATATCCACAAAATCGGACTCGTTAAGAAGACATGTCTACTTAACCTGCATGACCTTATCTTTACCTACCTTCTATGTGGAATCAAATTATTAATAAGGAGCATACCACCAAACGGTACAGGACATGTTCTTACATCTCTTTTAACATCTACATCTGCAAACAAAGTATATGTAATAAGGAATGATCGTACATACGAAATAACCAATACTGGCAAAGTGACTTCCAAAACGCCTAAAAAGACCCACAGCCATAGTATTTCAGTGAAATATTTGAAATTTTGCCTTCAGCACATACCGAGTTTTTTCTCCATCTCATCTTCAAATAACATAACATACCAAGTACCACCATAACAACATTGATGATCAGCTACTTTACCAGTTTTATGTCCTTTTTCTACTACCTGCAGGTATAAAGAAATGTAACCTTCCACTACAAAATCATTTGCCAAGAATAAAATTATAATCCAATGTATCCATAATCAACCAACCTCAATCAATTAGGACAGTACATCTAATTTGTGGATCTAAACTATGGAACAGATATGGATATGGAAGTGTTTTTCAGTAATCTTTGTGAATATGTATGCCATCTGGATAGTTTACAATGTCCCTGTGCCACCCGCGGTACCATAACACAATCGAGGGGTTATGTTTAACTTACGGAGTTGTACGAAGAAGGGAACATCATACCTTCGGCTGTTTTGTGGTGCCGAGTGGGGCACAGTGACAATGTAAAATATCCGGCAATGCCTTGATGGTTATTAATGGCTAAATGCCAACATTCATATGAAATATGAAATTTTTAACATGGTTTAAATTCTCAAAATCTAGCGCAAAAGTGAGTCAGAGCAACCCTTATAAAAATTTTTTTGTCTGGCCCTAAACAGCTGTTCCATCCGTATATTTATGTTCCCATCAAGTCTGAGGAAAGGTTGTCTTCTTACCTGCATACACCCATTATGGGAAGTCGTATCTAAAAACGGTATCCATGCTGTTGCTTGCATTACCTGGTAAGATCTATTATCAAGGTATCCGACATCTAAAATTACAAAACTTCGCGGTAACAAGTCTTACACTACGTCATATTCAATCACATTCATACCTTGCCGCGATCTTTGATTGAAGGGTATTCTAATACCATCCATTCGCATAGCTTCAAACAATGATTCTAAACTTTATATCATCTTTTCTACACTTGTAAAAATAAATTTTGTTTACCTTGATGCCAAGGTACAGTAGTGGCTTCATTTTGAGGAGTTTTAGTTCTCAGATTCCAAACAGGATGAGCAGCTATTTCTGGTCCTATCAACTGCTCTATAACATTTAATAATGGCTCATACGTGAACAATTTTTGAAACGCCTGAAAATATCAAAAGTTTAATGGACAACTTTTTAGATGTCGAGGAGTGTTTATGACGTAATATCTCCACCAGGGAGTAAGATTGAAACTTTCTGATTAATAATCAATATCAGAAAATGAAGTACATATCCCTTATTTCTTATATAATTATTTTTTTTGTTGATTTGACTAACTGAATGTCATCACATTCCTAGAATGCGATAATGTTGTCGTACTGATCTGTACCAGTCTGCCAAAACTGAGACTTTACCTTCGGACATTGAGGGTATTTATGTAGCACTATATTTGCACCAGGGAATTCTTCCTCTATTTTCGTCAATCTTTGAAACAAATCTACGTCCTTATATAAATCTGAAATGAGAAACCGAGAAAATGCTTTTTGGGGTTTTTGAAATTTGAAAGATTGTGCTCAATATAGCATAGACAGAATGGACTTCATAAATGTTTCAAGATCAGTTGATAATTCACAACTATGCTCATGTACTCACTTTTTATTTTACCAGCCTTATATAATTTTTGAGCGACATCTTCCACCATTTCTTCAATATTTTGTTTACATTCTTCCAGAAGCTCTTTTGGGAGGAAATCTTCTACCAACAAATAACCCTGACAAATCAACGAATCTTGTTTACTTTTAGTAATAGAAGATTTGCGATATTTCTCCTCATTTAGCATATCGTTTCAAATATGCTTCATAAACAAAATGGGAATCCTTCGTGTATCTATTCTAGTTTACTTTTTGTTGATCGATTATATTGTAAAACGAACAGCATTAGATAAGCATTTAATATTGTCCTAGACTTAAACTTACCTCTTCAAAAAACTGTTTAATCTTATGTTCTGGAAGTTGACCAGGTTTCTTCTCTGTTGGTTGTGGAATCATTTTGTTGAAGACCTCAGGGTAAGCCTCATCAGTATGTCCTGGAAAGTGTTTATCGCTTTCAGTGGCCATTTTGGTTTTCTTTGACCTACAATTTCAGTTATTAACAAACAAACAGTTGAAGGTAACCTCCCCCTCTCCCTGTCGATGGTCGTTCGTGAAATCAAGGAGCTTGTTTGCTTGTGTTTGTACTTTTTATTCACACCGGTTTAAGTTGTATGGGGATACAATCATTATAACACATAAATAAGATATTGAGAAAATAATTTGCACATTCACAACTTGTAAGATAAAGAATTCGTGCACGAAAAAGTTTGAGAAATGCGCAATACTTACTTTGTACCCAGTATAGTGTGTTATTCTCAACTGTTTGCACTATTGCCGCATATATACTATAGGCCTACCATACTGTTTAACACATGAACAATCTATATTAACACTTAGCATAGCTAACTATTGACCTGAACTTGTCACGTGGCTAAACTGGATTGTACTATAAATAGTCCTAAATGATATTATGATCTAAATCGATAGTTTTTATATAGCCGGATATAGATACAGATATCAGCATCTCTTATTTTTCTGTATGATATGGGAACTAATTTTGTTTACATTTCTTAAAATCGTGGAAGTAGAAAAGTCAAAACTTCTCATGGTGGGGACGTGCGTCGCAGTTCTTGGTACATTGGTTAAAGTTTTTTCTAAAACGAATGATTTCTGATGCCATGGCCTGCGCTTTCGGTCACTTCTATACTAACCCGATATATGCCAGCAATGCAGTTATTCCTCTTATTCCGAACGTCACTGTGGCATTCATATCATCAGTTTAGTTCGGATTAACTTTGCTAATTCATCATCCTTAATATATCGTGTTATTTAACTAGTCAGATGCACGAGGGCATGATTATATCTCATAAATAATGTCCTTGTTTTATACAGTCAAGTACATGTATAATTGAGTCCAATCTGATACGGTATATCATGTGCCTTATAAAAGATTACTCAAAACAATTGGTTTGAACTTTACAATAAAAATATACACATATTTTTCCTAGAAATTGCACATAAAAATAACATATTCGACTGAAAATTCTCTCAAATTTACAAATAATTATTTTTCATCAATTGAACTTTTCAAATAATTGATCTACATCTGAAAAAGGATCTAAGGTGATCGTCTATGGATGGCAATATAGTTATAATTGACGATTTTCAAATTGCAAGATCATGATTCGCCATTTTCGGGATTGGAGTCTTGGATATGATGATGCACTAAAACCAAATGAAAATCGCAGAAGTCCTTCAAATATACATCATACCAGGTCTTTTCTCCGACTATTGGTCGAGCAGATGGCGAATCTATCCCTGTAACATTCCAATATTACGGATATTATGATGTTAATATAGAGAATATTAATAAGGACGTGTAATATTTAATTCAATTGTAGATATTGCTTCAGAAATACATCACTTTAAGCATATACCATTTTATCCCTTTATTTTTGGCTTTGTTTTATTGATTACTGTTCTGTTCAGAAATACAAGAATTTACTATAACATTCAATTTCTTTTAAAACTGTAAGTCTCATCAAACTTGTCTAGGCAAACGATTTAGATGAATTTATGAGAAATGTGCTTGATTGGTTTACATCTCACCGAGTTATGCTAACATTTATCTAATCTTTTTCGACGTCAAAAGAAAAAAAAATCAAAGTTTTTATTTAAGTGTAAGGTCTCTATGAAGTAAACATGTGATTGTCACACTTTTGGATAATTACGACATATCCCTTTCAAATCTATCTATACAATTTTACGTGTTTAGAAATTGACTTGAAATCATAGTTATTAAAATACATGTCACAAAATTGTACAATCTATTTATAGATTTGTAGATTATATAAACTCTCTATATTCTATACTCTGGAACTCTAACGATACCCTAGTCGTCCTGGAGACTTGCAGTCAGAATCAAATGACCCGATTTATTTTTATAGAAGAACTGAGAACACCTTAAGAAGTATGACTAACCGCCAAAGATTCGCGCCAAAGACAACCTGTTCAACTTTACATCGTCGTTTAAATAACACTCATCATACAATAGGTTCATGAATGCAGAAGATTCTTCCTTGCAGTCCTGCTTCTTACAGACAAGAAACTACAATATTGTGCATTAGTTTAGTATTCCGACCAAATGCTTTGTATGGAGAAAGCTGAAATTTGTGACGCGTTCAAATGCTTCAGAAGTTATCATTTGTTTACTGACGCCATATGTCAACTATGAGACGTCTTCGATCCACAACAATTTTCCAAAAAAGACTGCAGATCTACTTGTGACAGAATGTAAAAACTTTCAAAATATTTAATTATCATCAATATAAGGCTCTGATTATAACAATACATTACAAAATACATGGAATATATAACAATAATATACTATATAATATTTCTATTGAGGCATTGACTCCTTTCATATATACAAATACAATAAATAACAAGATTTTAGATATATATAGTAATAAACAATATTTTAGAATCGTGCTAAGAAAAATGGTCCAATTTTGGCGATATACTCTGTAAATACATTATAACTGACATTCAGTAATTAATGGATATTGATAGCTGATACACGACTGGCAGTGATTTACCACCAAAACCAGAAGTGGTTGGTTAAGAGGACCGGGCGTTTTTTACTGCTGTTACCTACATGTAAAACTCCATTCATTTCATTTTATACATGTTGTACTATCATTAGCGAACAATTATGAGAAATCCCAATGGCAACCTTCATCCAGAGTATTGAAGATACCTACCATCTATTTTCGACCTCACACCAAGATGTGTATTGTGATCTGTACTATACCGCACCATCCTGGTTGTTGGAACACTGGGTAGTACATTAATAGCGGATGTCGTTCTATAGATGAGTTGTGTTGGTTTTACTTCTGGAATTTCTACTACAGTTGGAGCTGTAGAAGTATATAATTTGCTTCTTAACTTTGCCACATTTAGGAAGTTCTTTTTCTTTTTCGTGACATTCATATCTTTTGCTCTTGATTTTACCGTCATGTCATAAAGTTCATTTGTATTACTGTTTGTGGAATGATCATGTGGCAAAATGTATGAAATTCCAATAGTTTTCATATTTTTATTCTTGATATCCATAAACGCAGTTGGGGAAGATTTCAGTCCTCTGGAAGGTCCAGTATTATTTACCTTTTTATCTGGTTTTCTTTGGTCATACGAGAGGTCAAATTCGAAGCCTTCTTCATTAAACAAATTTGAATACCTATGGAAATTATTACCCAAATAATTATTTTCTGAATAATTCATTTCATCGACTCGTTCATTTTCCTCCATGTCGACCTGTTTCCGTCTTGGGATAGTATTCCTCTTTGTGTTCATTGCATTGAATTTTTTCATTAGTTCTTCAAACTGGGAGCGGGTCAATTGAATAGGTAAATCCTTTGAATCGACGTATTGCTTTGGTAACCTGTTACCTCCTGTCACCTTATTTTCTTTTGAGTTAAGAGTCCTGTTGGATTTTACGGTGTCATTAGAACTGTAGGACCTAGCATTACTCTTTACATTATCATTCATATCATCCATTGAATTATCAATTTTCACATTATCTTTTGAATTGGCAGTGTATCCATTATCCTCTACCTGTTTATTTCCTGTATCCTGAGCATCAGTTTCCACTTTCGAATCGTCATTTGTAAAATCATCTCTTTCATCGTTTCCTTTTGAAGTATTTCTTTGGTAGTATTTAACCTTTAACTTCTCAGAAGACACATTATCTCTTGAATTGTCCTTACCTTTTGATCGTATACTTTCTGATGTATCACCTAATACCGCATTATCTCTTTTTCCAGTCACATTATCTCTTGAATCGTCACCTTGTTCATTATCTCTTCTGGTGTTTCCCTTCTCACTGTCACCAAAAGTGCCATTATTTTCGAAAGATTTACCATTTTCACGTTCTCCAGCAATTTGATTGTTCTGATTATTACCAAGCACAATACCACGATAACGCTGTAAACCTAGTATATTTATGAGTGGTCGCTTAAATGTCCTGATTTCTACATCATCAGTGTCAATATCATCATTGTCAATATTATACTGGTTTGAATTAATGTTGTTATTTACACTGATTGGTTTTAATATATTAATTAGTCTGTTATGTACACCAGCATCTCCAGGATAGTTGTCCTTAGGTTGTAAATGTTCCAAAAGCCAGTTAGAGATCATTTCATTGTCAATATCAACACCGGGTCCATTGTCCGAATCAGTCTTAGATATATACGTAGGTACTATTCGGTTATATTCTCTTCCATGCAAAGTCCTGTTTTTCTCATTTTCCCCTTCCTCTACGCTATTATTGATATCAACACCTTCCTTTACGCTATCATTTTCATAATTACCCTTTTCTGTGCTATCACTTTTATTATCACCTTCCGCTACGCTATCACTTTTATCACCATCTTCCTCTACACTGCCACTTTTTTTATCATCCCCCGACTCTACGCTATCACTCTTATCATCACCAGACTCTCCGCTATCACTTTTATAATCATCTTCGTCTAAGCTATCACTTTTATCACCACCTTGCCCTGCGCTATCAATTCTATCTTCATTTTCTTCATTATCACTTTTATTATCACCTTCCTTTAAGCTATCACTGTTATATTCATCTTTCTGTACACTTTTATCACCATCTTTCTCTATGCTATTACTTTTATCATCCTCCTCCTCTAAACTTCCATTTTTATCATTACCTTTCCCTACCCTATCACTTTTAAAATCATCTTCCTCCACTCTATCATTTTTATCATCATCTTCCTCTCCGCTATCACTTTTATCGCCATCTTCCTCTACACTATAATTCTTATCATCATCTTTCTCTACGCTATCACTTTTACCAACATCCTCTTCTACTCTACCAATTCTATCTTCATTTTCTTCACTATCACTTTTGTAATCACCTTTTTCTACAACATCACTTTTATACCCACCTCTTTCTATACTGTAACTTTTATCATCACCTTCCTCTGCGCTATCACTTCTAACAGCCCCGTTTTCTAGGCTTTTACTTTTATCACCCCTGTTTTCCACGCTATTACTTTTATCAACCCCGTTTTCTACATTATCATCATCATTTTCATTCGCAGAATTTACTGCTTTAACTTTTTTATCATTTCCAATATCATTATTAACACTTTCCTGATCAAAAGTTTGCATGAGATTAATGTTCTTGTTTTTAGTTGTAAAAACAGGCCCACTATTTCTCGGAATGAGAATTATTTCTGATTTATCTATATCAGGATTTCCCCCTAACATACTGATGCCTACTCTTGATAGACTGTCTGGAATATTTTCTAGTTTAGTATATACTGGTGGGTAGGCTGTATATAGTCTATTTATTTTGTCATCATCTATATAATTTGTTTTTGACACCAAATTTGAAGGATTAGAATCACCTTCATATGCCTCTATTGAATCTGATAATTCATTACTTTCTCTATTGCCAAATTTACTATCATAATTGCTATTTACCCACGTAGACATCATTCTATTGAATGTAGCTGTATCATCCATTTGATTTGGTTCATCGTCAAAATCTTGTGTATTGTCATCAGAAGTAGTATCCTCCGCACTATCACCAGTATCTCTGTCTATATCAGTACTCTCATTAGCAGCACTATCATTAGCAGCACGGTGTTCATCATTAAACCTATCCTCTTCAGCACTTTCATTTGAACCACTGTCTTCATCAGCACTATCACTATCGAAATCAGTACCGCTGTCTACATCAGTATTCTCATCATCAGCACTATTATCAGTACCACTATCTTCATCAATGCTATCATCAACACCACTGTCTATATCGATAGGTGCATTTTCCAGATCACCGCTATCTTCATCAGCACTATCATCGTCATCGCTTTCATCTGAACCGCTGTCTTTATTAGAACTATCACCATCAGCACTATCACCATCAGATTTATCACCAGCATTACTATGTTCATCTATACTATCATAAGAAGCACTGGTATTACTATTATCAACAGTGACCTTACCAATCAAATCATTTTGAGACCTGTTTATAATAACACCTGCATTACTATCATCATCGCTATTTTCATCATCATTTAGAGATTGTTCATTGAAATCATTGTCATTCACGGATATAATACTTGAAAGAACCCTTTGAGTGTTAGCATTAGGCAATACATTTATTATTCGATAAGATTTTTGTGGAACTGGGTTATAGCCAGCACTATCACCCCTGCTTTTATCCTTTCCAATATCATAATTGATGTTTTTACCAACAGGTACCATCTCATAACCACCAAATTCCTTAGCATTATCATTGATGTAATTTAAATTCTTGACATATTTTTTCATTTCTTGTTTATAATTAGAGTTACTCGGGTCATCATCATCATCATCAAAAATACCACCATACACTACCATCTTTTCTGTTATTTTATCCGTAAGCTTTGATTCTTTCGCAGCTTCGACGTCTTCGTCATTGTCTTCAACCTTTTTCTGTTCTATTCTTTTTATATAAGTGGGTGGTGTTGTCATCGTGTATATATTTGGTTGTACAGGGTTTTTTTGTTCAACTTTAGGTTGGCTATTCTTCCGAGCAGCCAATTTTGGTAATCGGTCCATAAAGCGACCCCTTGATACTATTGTCTGTGATGTTCGTCGAACTGGGGCCATCGACCTTACGGGTACTGGAACCGGAATATAAACAGGAACTCGCTGAATGTAACAAATTCTGGGCCTAACACCCGGATTGACCATTTGTGCTAATAGTGGGTGTATATTTGGTGTTAGATGTCGTATTAAGGACCGTCTGTATTGGGCGTCTACATTTATCAGCAAAAGAGATAATACCAATGGGATTATAGCTATCTTCATGTTGTCTGTGTGCTCGACTGAAAAAGTAAAAAAAAATATTGAATTTGAATGTTGCAAATATTATTATGACAAGTTTTCCATATGATCGCTAAGATTTATTAGACAATCCTTGAGAATATTTCACTTTAATGTTACGTATTACACCATATTTGAGGTGCTACAAAACGAATTTGTGACGCAGTGAATTCTAAAATTACACGAAAGCACGTTATATCAGGTGTTTCAGTGATTTATAAAATTCCGAATGAAATGAATTTCACGAAATCGAAGCAGAAACGAAAGTTACAAACAACATACCTGCACTAGACTATTTTTAAAGATTTAATCCGAGCACAATTGACAAGAAGATTCCCCCATAATGAAGTAATAGCGATGGTAATGATTATATAGTCACCCATGTAAACATATTCATCACCTTATAAAACTGCGTTTTTATTCTGCTATAGGTTTTTAATATCAATCTATACAAAACATATATATAATATATAAACAGATATATCATATTGATGTATCAAAAAATTAAGGAATTTGAATAAATTACTAGTGCCCTCGGTCCTAAACCATCATCACACAAACACATTCGGTGTAAAACAATCAAATTAAGTACAAGGCTATTGGTCACTCAGGTTTAATAAGGAAAAGAAAATCAAGTTGTGACAATAAATTTAATATTGATCATTTGTCAAGATGATGTGCCCTGTGTTATTGTGAATTTCTGACTTTTAGCTGACCTGATATAGATAATAGGCCTTAATTCATTGTGATTCCAAGGATCATACAATATATGGGTTAGGTCATACCTTGGAGTATAGATTATACTCCTTGGGTCATACAGAATTAGACAAAAATATGCAGACAATCCACTTTGTCTTTACGGCCATTACATAAGTTAAAAATGAATTTCCAGAACGCGTATTGGTAGTCTGTAGTTTTAATTTAAAATAGATAGATAGATAGTCTACTATAATATCTATATCAGTCAATATTTTAGAGTAATTTATTTCACCTTTGAACTCATCCCAACACTAAGTTGCACTTTTGATTTTGTTTTGTATTTAATTTAGCTTTCAGATTTTGTATCTTTAGCGACCGATTAAACGAACTTAAATCCCTACTGTTAAACCCTACTCAGTACTTATGTAAAAGTAAATCATTCTACGCTCTTAATACTACTACGTTTATACCTCCAGAGCTTTCATACTTCTTCATGTTAGGCATAAGCCTTCTCGTTCTTGATTCCCATCCATTTGAACGTAAACGAAAGAATATGTATAAGTATTAGTAGACCCCTAAGGCTGTTATATACATGTAATATAAAATATCAACATTGCAGACTGAGAATACTATCTGTCATAGGGTTATCCCCCATGAACAATAAAATGTCGTGTGGATGTAAAGTTTTACACAGTAATGACCCCGTTTCCTGCTGATTATATATAAAATATGTTTACATTTATTTCAAATTATACAATTCTCTTCTGTTTACCATGAGGGCATTACATATTTTACTTATTTTTGGAATATTTCTTTTCATCGTTGAAGGTAAGAACTGAACAAGTTATCGGATTTTGTGTATTAGTTAGGTGCATCCAAATTGAATGTCAACTAACAAAATTATTCGTTTTCGTTAAACGCGCTATGAGTTAGGTAATCATACATTGCACAAAGAATGCCAATAGTGTGCTATTTGAGCAGCCAAGCTTGGTCGAAAACCAAACAAATGAACACAACATCTGCCCCTGCGAGCAATATTAGGGGATAAGATACACACCGTCTGTCAGTGTCACTGCGAGTAATATTAAAGGGTAAGATATCAAAGGAACCGATCTGCTAAACGATTGAGTTGCCTGTAGTTTAAAGAAAAAATATTTGTTCAGAATCGAGAATTGGGAGGCCCGCTGTAACTCAATGGATATCCAAATTCTCGGTGGGTTCGCTTTACCAAGGGTTTCTTTTGTATGGAAGCCGACTGCGGCCATATCTACTCTCGACTTCTCGCACACGAGAAAGCGAGGAAACTTTCTCACCTTTTTCCTCGCCTTTTATTACCCTCGCTTTCTCGCCTTTTTCCCCGTTTTGTCGTCTCTCGACTTGTCGTGGGCGAGAAGTCGAGGGTAATATGGTCGCAGCCGGTTTCCATACTTTTGATCAAATCTTAACTGCCATGTATTTAAAATGTTATTTTACCCGGTAAGTGGTGTATTTTCAGATTACTATTTAAATGGACGGTATGGTTTACTATATAATAATATAAACAGATACATGCCTTATGGTGGACGATACAGATGGCAAGCTGGTTACCCATATCCACAATATCAGACACAGTTTTACAGACCGTATTATCATTTTAATCATATTGAATAAAACAAACTTTACAAATCGTATTATCATTATACTCAAGTTGAATAAAACAAATTTTACAGATCGTATTATCATTTTAATCATATTGAATAAAACAAATTTTACAGATCGTATTATCATTTTAATTATATTAAATAAAACAAATTTTACAGATCGTAATATCATTATACTCAAGTTGAATAAAACAAACTTTACAGATCGTATTATCATTTTAATCATATTGAATAAAACAATTTTTAGATCGTATTATCATTATACTCAAGTTGAATAAAACAAATTTTACAGACCGGATTATCATTTCACAAATTGAATAAAACAAATTTAACGAATCGTATTATCATTATACTCAAGTTGAATAAAACAAATTTTACAGATGGTATTTTCATTTTAATCAAGTTGAATAAAACAATTTTTAGATCGTATTATCATTATACTCAAGTTGAATAAAACAAATTTTACAGACCAAATTATAATTTTATCACACTGAATAAAACAAATTTAACAGATCGTATTATCATTATACTCAAGTTGAATAAAACAAATTTTACAGACCGAATTATCATTTTATCACATTGAATAAAATGAATTTAACAGATCGTATTATCATTATACTCAAGTTGAATAAAACAAATTTTACAGATGGTATTTTCATTTTAATCAAGTTGAATAAAACAATTTTTAGATCGTATTATCATTATACTCAAGTTGAATAAAACAAATTGTACAGACCGAATTATCATTTTATCACATTAAATAAAACAAATTTAACAGATCGTATTATCATTATACTCAAGTTGAATAAAACAAATTTTACAGATGGTATTTTCATTTTAATCAAGTTGAATAAAACAATTTTTAGATCATATTAACATTATACTCAAGTTGAATAAAACAAATTTTACAGATCGTATTATCATTATACTCAAGTTGAATAAAACAAATTTTACAGATCGTATTATCATTATACTCAAGTTGAATAAAACAAATTTAACAGATCGTATTATCATTATACTCAAGTTGAATAAAACAAATTTTACAGATGGTATTTTCATTTTAATCAAGTTGAATAAAACAAATTTAACAGATCGTATTATCATTATACTCAAGTTGAATAAAACAAATTTTACAGATGGTATTTTCATTTTAATCAAGTTGAATAAAACAATTTTTAGATCGTATTATCATTATACTCAAGTTGAATAAAACAAATTGTACAGACCGAATTATCATTTTATCACATTAAATAAAACAAATTTAACAGATCGTATTATCATTATACTCAAGTTGAATAAAACAAATTTTACAGACGGAATTATCATTTTATCACATTGAATAAAACAAATTTAACAGATCGTATTATAATTTTACTCAAGGTGAATAAAACAAATTTAACAGATCGTATTATCATTATACTCAAGTTGAATAAAACAAATTTTACAGATGGTATTTTCATTTTAATCAAGTTGAATAAAACAATTTTTAGATCGTATTATCATTATACTCAAGTTGAATAAAACAAATTTTACAGATCGTATTATCATTATACTCAAGTTGAATAAAACAAATTTTACACATCGTATTATCATTATACTCAAGTTGAATAAAACAATTTTTACAGATCGTATTATCATTATACTCAAGTTGAATAAAACAATTTTTACAGATCGTATTATCATTATACTCAAGTTGAATAAAACAATTTTTACAGATCGTATTATCATTATACTCAA